GGAGACCTGTGACTCCTGCAGAAGTGTGGCTGGCCCTTGTCCAGCAGCTCCCCTGAGGCTGGGACAGGAGAGACTGGGGACACAGTGAGGATGCTGCTGGCCCGCCCCTGCGGCGAGGGCCAGGAGCAGGGTGGGCCACAGGCAGAGGGCCCAGAGATGGTACGATTGCACAGTGGCAGCAGTGTTCTCAGAGCTGGGGAGCAGCAGGGACTCTCTCCATCCTCAGGGACAATGAGGCCAGCAAAGGTGAGGTGCCTACCTGCAAGTCTCCCCAAGAACGGGACTGAGCCTGCAGCTCCTGGACCCCAGTGGCCACCCAGCAAGGCAGGCAGGAAGGAGCCCAGAGGAGCCGGTGGGCGTCTGGTGGGCTTCTCCGTCTGTGGCACCCGCGGGAGGGAGGCTGCATTTCGCACAGCGTGCTTCCTGTGGTTCCCAGGGGGAGGGCTGCTCTGATGCTGTGAACTTGGCTCCGGGCGAGTGTGCAGTTGGGTTGGCTTCAGGGGTGGCTGGGTGGTAAGGGCGCCCAGAGCCCAGGCCGGCAGTGTGAGAAAGGCACGAGGGACTCACGGTGGGGCTGGGTGCTGAGGGAGGCTGTGGCAGGTGCAGAGCTGTGGTGGCCCGCTGTTGGCCCTTCCAGCTGCCAGCAGCCCGCATGTGTGCCTGTGGCATGGTCCTGGGACCTGCGTGCGCCAGCACACGCGGGGCGAGGGTCCTGGGGTTGCTAGCACAAAGTGCTGTGGACGGCGGGGAGCGGGGCTTGACACAACAGGAAGCATCTCAGGGCTCTGCGGGCCAGATGTCCAGTCCAGGTGGGCTTCTCCTGAGCTGTGAGACAGCAGAAGTGCAGCCTGCTCTCTGCCTTCATCTGCCCATGGCTCAGCCCCATGCGAATGTCTCCAAATCTCCCCTCTGATGAGGACCCCGGTCATGTGGGAGATAGGACCCGCCCTACTCCAGAAGGACCTCAGCCTGACCAATGGCATCTCTAGAGGTCACATTCTGAAGTACCAGGGCTGGGACTCTGGGGGGAACGCAACCCTTGCATGTAGGGGACAGGTGTCCTGGGAGTTTCTTAGCGGGGCCTGCCCTGGCGCGCTGCAGGCTTCCTGGGCAGGTATCTAGGGGTGGGTCCTGGGGCCCAGGGGCAGGGGAGCCTGCTCAGACGTGGCCACTGACCAGTGGCCGTTTCTCACTTCCTTGTGGAAAATTCCCTTTGGTCTTTCCACCCTGGGTCTCCTCAGTGAGATTCCTGGGGATGGCAGGATGGTCCCCAAGAGCAGGACCGAGCCTGGGCTCCTGGACCCCAGCTGAAGGAGGGAGGTGTGGTGGGGTCTTCCCACCTCTGGGAAAGGTGGAGGGTAAGCTGGGGCTGGAAGGGCTTCCTGGGTGCCCTTCTTAGGTCCTAGACCCACAAAGAGGGATCCCCAACTCCTCCCTTGGCCTGTCTGGTCTCCCCTAGGGCTGGTGTCTCCCTGCCTGCTGCACACAGCCCTGCCTTGGGCCATCTTGAGGGAGGTGGGAAGGGCTGGTGGAGGCTGCCTGGCCTCCTGGGAAGACTGGGGGAGGCTGTCTGGCCTAGGATGGGCTGGGAGGAGGCTGGCCTGGCCTCTTGGGAGGACTGTTAGAGGCTGGCCTCCCAGGGCTCCTGCCTTCTCTGTCTCCCGGAACCCTAGGGGTGGGCATGCTGGAGGGCTGGCCTCCCATGTGTTTTGGCAGTGCCACCACCAGCAGTTTTTCCAGCTGAGGGTCTCGTGGCCCCTGGCTGTAGCGAGAGGCCTCTAGAGGAAGGACACCCAGCAGAGAAGGTGTCCAGGCCCCTAGGCCCCGCTGACCCCTAGTGGGCTTCCAGGCCTGCTCCACCCAGGCGCCCAGGCAGCTCCCTGCCTCCTCTCCTGTCAGGGTGGCAGCAGGAGGGTGTCCACCTGCCCAGCACCCCCTGGTCCTCAGACCCCCAGCCCTCCTCCCAGAAGGAGAGACACCAGGGGCATTAAGCCTGAACTCCCAGCTTGGGCTCCCCCCACCTGACCCCCTGGCTGCCCCCACCCCACCCAGCCCCAACTCTGCCCCCTGCCCCTTCCTCATGCTTCGTCCTAAAGCATCTAGGCGGGGCAGGGCCAAGGGCTGGCTCAGCCAGGTCCTTGTCCTCCTTGGTTTGGGGGAGGCCCTGACAGAGAAGGAGGAGACCCACCCAGCTGGCCACACTGGGGGCGGCCGGAGCTAGCTTCTTCTCCCTTTCCCCAAAGGGCCAATGAATTGAACTGACAGGAGCCCTTCAAACCCCACCGAGGGGTGGGAACAGGACAGCTGGGTCGGACTCCTCATCCCTCATGCCCCTACTCAGAACACGCAGGTCAGGGCCAGTGTGGGCACTGCACCCTGAGACTCCCTGAGCCTGTCTGTCCCCAGGCTGCCCCTGGGATGTGGCCCTTGGCATTGGTCCTGGTTGGTCCCAAGACCCTCTGTGTGGGAGGGAGTGGACTGACTCAGCACCCACGGACTGGCCCCAGCAGCTTCCCGTCCAGCCATAGCCTCAAGGGCTGCAGATGCTAGATTAGATCCATTCTTGCCTGCTGGGCCTGTGGCGAGCTTTATGGCTCTGGGTTTATACAAACAGTGGGAAGCAAGGCCGGCTGGACAGAGGCCACCAGGCCTGGGACCCCCATCCCTTCAGATGTCACCCTGTGTTGGGTGGCCTCAGAGTTCTGCTGGAGCACAGAAGACTGGAAGGGAAGGGTTCCTAGAGGAAGGGGCAGGGCCTGAGTTTGCACATGATTCAGCGCCTGAGCCAGGGGGGCTCTTGACCCCTCCTTGCTGGGGATGAAACCCAGGCCCCAACACAAGCCTCCAGGACCCCACGGTGCCAGCCCACAGTCCATCCTGGCCTCTAAGCATGGCTCCAGCTTGGATTTGGAGACAGATGGAGGTGGAGGTCAGCCCATGGGAGGACCGCTCTCACTGGACTTCACAGAAAGCCTCAGGGGTCATCAAAGTCTCAGCTGTCCAAGTGACCTGACCCAGCCCTGTCCACCGCTGGTGCTCCTGGAGCGCTGGTCTCCTCTCCCAGGCATTCTTCCTGGAAGCGGGCCACGGCCCCTGTGAGGCCAGCCTCTGTGTTTCTTTGGTGGGACACTTGAAAAGCCACAGTCACTCTGGGGATTGATTGCACTCTTGTGGATGGAGGCGTGTGGGTGGAGAAGGGCCCCGGCGTGTCCTCGCCCTACTCTTCCTTAAATTGTGTCTTAAGCATTTAGGCAGAGAAGGACCCGGGGAGTGACTGAGTTGCGGGAGGGGTGTCTTGCGGATGGGGCCATACAGCGCAGATCTCGGAGGGCGGAGGTGAGTTCCTCACTGTGGAAGTCACGAACATGGGTGGGGAGAAGGCTGGCCAGACAGTCCTGAGGCCTGGGCCTCCAAGGTGCTTGGAGGGGTGGGTGTGAACTGTGTCTTTCAGTGCAGGTGGCTGACCCAGGAAGGAATGGAGACAGGGATGTATGGTGCGGTCACCCAGCGCATTGAAGCACACATACATCTTTTCTAGCTGTATCTACAGACGGAACCTGGGAGCAGAAGTTTGGCAAAGGCTGCAGACACATAACGCCCAAGTCTGGCCTCCAACTCTGTCCTCCACTGAGGGGAACCAGAGATCCAGGGAGACCAGGCTGATTCCAGCCAGGAGCACCCAGAAAGCAAGGAGGTGCTCAAAGAATGGAGGGATGGAAGAACACGGGAACCACAGAGGGGTTCTGCAACCCAAATCTGGGTAATTCCAGCATCAAAACAGTGTTAGTTGCGTCACATGCATGAGGCCTGGGTTTGATGCCCAGCATTGAAAAAAAAAAAAAGTCAGCACAAATTATAACCCACTGAATAAAATAGGAACCATGAATCTATACTGATATCGTTATATTAATTAATGAAAAGCTTGGTAAGAAACAAGATATGTCATTTCAAAGTACCTCCCCAGAAACCATTCATTAATTCTAGAAGAGAAAGAGGTAGATTTGCAGGGAGAGACCTCATCAGCGATGGGAGGGCAGAAGTCGTGTGTCACCAGATGGGACGGTGAAACAGCACCACCTCATAACCCACATCTCATCATGGGGGGATTGGCAGAATCATGGCCCCCCAAAGATGTGCACCCCTTAATCCTGGAGCCTGTATGTGACCTCATGTGGCAAAAGGGTCTCTGTAGGTGTGATTAAGGTCACAGACCTTGAGATAGGAGATTATCCCAGATGATCTGATGGGCCCGATCTAATCACATGAACCCTTAAAATCGAAGAGCTTTCTCCTGCTGGGTCGGAGATGCAGCATGAAGGGACCTGACTCTCCTCCCTGCGTCACTGGCTTTGAAGATGGAGGAAGTGGGCTGCGAGCCAGGGAGGGCAGCAGCCCTGGAAAGGTGGCTGCAAGAAACGGGCTTTGGCCCGGCAACCAAGGGTGCAAGTCCTGCCACCCACCAACCGGCAGACCCCCCCTGGAGCCTCCAGATAGGAAGGTGGCCCACTGGCAGCTTGAACTCCGTCCAGCGAGGTCTGTGCTGGACTCCTAACCCCCAGAGCTAAGAAATAAAAAGTGGGCATCAAGCAACTGGATTTGTGGTAATCCGTTACACCAGCAATGAAAAATTAGTGGAGACATCAGACAAACCCAAATTAAGGGCCACGGGGTTGCTTATCTAGAACATAGAAATAATGCCTCAAAATTCATAAGGATGAACAGCTAAAAAAGAAAAATGGAGGGCTGGAGTTATGGCTCAGTGGTAGAGCGCTTTCCTAGCACATGTGAAGCACTGGGTTCAATCCTCAGCACCACATAAAAATAGATAAATGAACCAGGCACGGTGGCACACGTCTGTAATCCCAGTGGCTTGGGAGGCTGAGATTGGAGGATCACGAGTTCAAAGCCAGCCTCAGCAATGGCAAGGTGCTAAGCAACTCAGTGAGTTGCTTTCACAGAAGAAATGTGAACAGAAAACCAAAAATATGAATAGATGATTAACCTCATTTGTAATTAGGGAAGAGAAATTAAAGCCTCAGTGAGACTACATTTTATTTACCAGATTGGCCAAGCTGATGATATCAAATGTTGGGGACAACATAGAGCAGAGCGTCCACAGTCCACAGCCTTCAGGTCAACTGGGCCAACTGCTGTTTTGTAAATAAAGTTTTATTAGAGCAGACACACCCACTTGTTGTGTATTGTTCAGGACTGCTTTAGTGCTAAAGTGGCAGAACTTAACAGTTTTGAAAGAAACAGCGAGGTCAAGGAAGCAGGAAATACTCACCAACTGACACTTAACAGGAAGCTTGCCAACCTCCAATGCAAACCAGGAAGGACTCTTACAGCTGCGTTCAAGAGCAATTTGGCGGGCTGGGGATGTGGCTCAAGCTGTAGCGTGCTCGCCTGGCATGCGTGAGGCCCGGGTTCGATCCTCAGAACCACATACAAACAAAGATGTTGTGCCCGCCGATAACTAAAATAAATAAATAAATAAATAAATATTTAAAAAAAAAAAAAGAGCAATTTGGCAATTACTAGTAAAGATATGCATGGGTTTGAATCTGCAATCCAACTTCTAGGTATTTACCCTGGAGAACTTCTAACATGTAGACACTGAGGTGACAAGTACAACAATACTCAGTACATCACTGTTTATAATGGCAAACAACTGGAAACAACTCAGTGCCCTTGGCAGGAGAATGGATTTATATTCTGGGCTACTTAAACAATGGAATCCATAGAGCAGAAAGAATGACTTACCCCCACCACACTGTCGTGATGGTGATGGTGAATCTTATAAACAACGTTGAATGAGATAGTTGCAGAATGTATACAATATAATTCCATTTAGTATACAAGTAAAAAAATGCAAAAATGCTTTATCCCAATATACTATTGAGTTAATTAGGCTATAGCTTTGGCTTCGTGAAACAGAATCCAAAATAACAGCAGCTTAAACCAGACAGTCTGTCTACCTTATGGAGCAGTCCAGAGACAGTAGTCTGCACAGGTATGATGGCTCTGTCCCACGGTGCCCAGGAACCCAGGCTCCTCCTGGCTCCACACCTGCCATGGTCTCATCCTGGCCCCCATGGTCTGTGTTCCAAACAGCACATGAAAGAAGGGACAAATTCCTCCTTCTGAGGATTGATCTAGAAGTTGCAGCTGTCATTTTTGCTCACTTCCTGTTGGCTGGAACTTAGTCACACGGTCGCCCTTACTTGCAAGGGAGGCTGGGGACTGTTTTCCTTATTCTAGGCAGCCACATGTGCAGGCCAAATCCCTATTAAATTGGAATAAATAACAATAAAGACACAAGCATAATTGTTCAGTGGTAAACTTTAAAGAAAAGTAATGATAAAATCTGGATAATGATGATTTCAGAGTGGTAGGGAAAAGGGAACTGGGGAGGAACTCAAGTTTGAGTTTCTAGTAACCCCGCTCTTAAAGCTGAAGTCCCCACAGGTATTATTATTCATTACAACCTGTGTTAAGTTTCACATCTTGGGGCTGGGGTTGTGGCTCAGTGGTAGAGTGCTCGCCTAGCATGTGTGAGGCCCTGGATTCGATCCTCAGCACCATATAAAAATAAATGAATAAAGATATTGTGTCCAACTAAAAAATAATAGATATTAAAGAAAGTTTCACATCTTGAACACGAAATTTCATAAAAATTACATAATTAATCAAAAGTAGTTTATACACTGTATGATATTTGCATAAAATAAATGAGTGCAGGCATTTATTATTTTGATTTTGTACTCAGTTACTCTTAATCCTGGCATCTCCTCCTCTTCTTCTCTTGAAGGTGGGACAGGGCATTACTTAGTGGCTGCACTGCCTCATGCCTGAAGAGCCTCTCATTTAAGACACAAGACCCTGCATTTGCCTGCAGACATGGCCAAGAGCTTCCCCAGCAACCTGCAATTCTCATGTGCAATTCCAGTTCAGGGGACTGGTGGGCATCGCCAGATATCAGGATTTATTATGGGTCAGGGCCCTCCTTTCTTCTCTCACCTCCCCAACATCTATTTCTACAGGAAGAATTTTCATTTGTCCAAGCCCCAGCCTATTGGCCACCCGCTCTGGAAGCTCTCCCAGATTTCTCTGGTCACATCAGTCTTTCCATCTCTTCCTCTCACATTTCCTTCACTCCTTTTCATATTAGGCTGTTAGATTCCTCCCACTACTGCAGGGGCGATTCTGCAGACTCCACGTCCGGCTTCTGTCTTAGCTAAGTCTCCTGCCGGTAGTGGAGTGGACCAACCCCTCGGTGCTGAAGTGGCACCCCTTTCTCCACAGAAAAGTCTTAACTGGGCATTTCTGAAGATTTCTCCAGAAATCTTCACCATGGCTGATTTTAGGATTGTCAACAAGAGTCTCTGCAAAAGAGTTTAATGTAGATAAACTTCCTTTTTTTCGTGTTGCCGTTTTACTTGGCTACTGGCTGGGAAGAAATCAGCACTCCAGGTGCTGGACACCCTCTTACTAGTTTTTCACAACCGGATCTAGTATAGCAGTTTGTACAAATGTGCAAACTAGGCCTCTGGCCTTGAGCTGGGCTTCACAGAGATGTCCACATTTCTAGGATAAGAGAAGTTACCAATTGGGCTCCATGGTAACAGCTGGTAGGGGGGAGGAAAGAGAGGGGATCTCAGGTGTTGTCCTTGAAGGGCTAACTTGCCCAGAATAGTGAAAGAAAAAGCTGCTTTTATGTGAACTTCTACAGACTGTAAACTTCTGAGCCCCTCCCCTTAGATGCTGGGTATAAGACTCTGAAACTCCCTGAACTCGGGGTTCAGGTTATTGATTGATTACAGCAAAAGCTGTGCCCTCTGAACCCGGCTGCAGCCAAATAAAAGCGTTTCCTGCTCTCTTCCGTGCCTTGCCTCATATGTCCCACAACAGTGCCTCGGCCATCAGAGTACCAAGCACACGCCCTAAAATCAGTCGTAAGGGCTAAGCGCTGCCGATGAACGCTAGAACCCCGCTCGTCTTCGCAGGGCGCAGCGACCCCCTTTCTCTCCAGCCCTGATTGTCCTTCCGCATGAAGCTCCCAGGGGAAGAACCCCTGGCCGTCCAGCCCCATTAGTATCCGAGGAGGAGCCGACCTGGTTAGCGCCGGCTAAGTACCAGGCAGGAACCGGGCTAGCGCGCCGGCACCGCCCCTCCTGGGCACGCTTGCCTCTCATTGGCGCTCACCACCCCGAGGCCCGCCCCGTCGTACAAGCCCCGCCCCCATCCCTCTCAACTTTCCGGGACCGCCTCTTGCTGGCTCGGGTCCCGCCGTGCCCCGCCTTCGTTACCGTCACTTCCGGGCAGGGAGTGAGCGGAAGGCGGAAGTGTGTGTGCTGGGGCCGGCGAAGCCGGGCTGAGGTGTAGCTCCAGAGCCGCGGCTCTTCCGGGTCGGCGCCGCGGGCCGCGAGAGCGAGCGCAGGACCATGGCTGGGAGGCGGCCGCGCGGCCTGGCGGGGTCTGGAGGCTGACTGCGCGCCCCCGCCCCGACACTCAGGATGACGGCGGCCGCCGCCTCCAACTGGGGGCTGGTCACGAACGTGGTGAACAGCATCGTGGGCGTCAGCGTGCTCACCATGCCCTTCTGCTTCAAGCAGGTGAGCCGGGCCGCCGACGTGCGAGCCGCCCGCAGGCCGCGCCGCGCCGGCTCCGGGCTGCGCCGACGCCAGGGCAAGGCCCGGGCGCGGAGAGGTCGGTGTCACCGCGGAGTGACTGCCACGTGGAGGACAGCGCCGCGTCTGCGTGGCCCCTGCTCGCAGCTTGCGCGCGCGGGCGGGCGGGCGGGCGCCCGGGAGGCCGCGCCCTCCCGGGGCCGTTAACCGTGCGCTGGCCCCGGTCCCGCTGCCGGGAGGTCCTGGCCGCTGGCCACGCCAAAGAGGCAGGCAGTGAACATGCAATGGGGGGCTGCGGCTCAGTGGCAGAGCACTTGCCTGGCCTGTGTGCGACACTGGGTTCCCTTCTCAGCGCCACGTATAAATAAGTGAATAAAGTAAAGGTCCAGCAACAACTAAAAAATACATATTAAAAAAAAATGAGACGGGCATTTTGGAGCCGGAGGTGGGTGCCGGTAGTTGTTTGAGCACTTCGCGTGTTTCACAAGTAGCTCTTTTGGATGAAAACATCAAAAAAAAAGTTGCGATCCAGGAATTTTCCGTCCTGCACGCAGAGCTCTGCAGCCTTTTCGTGTGGGTTGTTAGTCTAACATTGTTGGCCAGTGTAGGCGGGAGGACAGAACTGCGATGTCACCAGAGCCCCTGGCTAGGGCATCCCAGCACTGTGTTACCCCAGGGTGCTTCCGGAATTCCTGCCTCCCCCAGTGTCCGCAGCAGAACTGTTGGGGATAGCGGTGGCTGTGAAATGCCTCCGTGGTTGGGACTAGGGCCCAGGTGATTCATGTGTCCCCAGATTTGGAGCACCTGCTGCCAGAGGATGAGGTCAGCAGAGGCCTTCCTGGGAAGAGCTTGGAAGTTTAGCCGGGAGCCTCTGTGCTAGCAGAGGATGAGAAACAGTCACACGTGTCCTTAGTGCCAGCCAGCTGCTTCCTCTGGACTCATCATCTCCTTCAGCAGAAGCCAACACGCTAGTTGGAGAGGGGTGTGTTTAGTGTTTGGCAGCTCTGCCATTAAAAAACTTGCATTAGTGTTTCTTTTTCTCACCCAGTAATTCTGGCACTTACACACACATGCACACATATAAACATTTTGTTGAATTTTAATGTATAGAAAACTTTATATGCTTCAGGTATACTCAGTGATTTTTTATAAAGTCAACAAACATAGTGATTTACTTTGCATTGAAGAATGCCATAGTGCTAGCATCCTTGCCAGTCACTCCTGCCCACTACACAGGCCACCACCTGCCTCTGGTGCGGGAGGTTCCATTGCCTGCTTTCTGCTGACATTAGATGGAGTTGGTGTGTTTATTTCAGGATCTGGTAGTATTCTGTCATATGGAAATAGAGTTTGTCCTACCTTTGCAGGCATCTCTGGTGTTTCCTGTTTGGAGCCCTTGGGACCAGTTGCCGAGGCTCTATGAGTGATAGCGTTTATTTTGGGTGTGTACCTGGGTAGAACATCAGGGTCACAAGGTGTGTGTGTGCAGTTCTAGTGGATGCTGCTGAGAGTTTCCAGGGCAGATCGATGTTCTAGTGTTCACTCCTGCCAGCAGGTGTCTGAGGTCCAAGTGCTCCACACTCTGCAGTATTTGATATCCTGTTTCTTTTCCATTTGAGCCATTCTGATGAGAGTGTGGTGACATCACATTGTGTGTGCATTTATTTTTTTGTGGTGCTGACAATTGGACCCAGGGCCTTGCACATACTGGGCAAGTGCTCTACCACTGAGTCCCAGCTCTTGATTTTTTAAATTTTGACACAGTGTCTCATTAAGTTGCCCAAGATGGCCTGGGACTTGCCATCTTTCTGTCTCCCCTGAGTAGCTGGGATTACAGGCATGTGCCACCATGCCTGGTTCATTTGTGTTTTTAAAATTGATAGACTTATATTTTTTTATATTTATTTTTTAGTTTTAGGAGACACAATATTTTATTTTTATGTGGTGCTGAGGAGCGAACTCTAGTGCCTCAGCTGCTAGGCAAGCACCCTACCTCTGAGCCAGAACCCCAGCCCCTAGATTTATATATATATTTTTTAATTTTTTTAAATTGTTGATGGACCTTTATTTTAATCATTTATCTGTATGCGGTGCTGAGAATTGAACCAAGTGCCACATATTCGAGGCAAGCACTCTACCACTGAGCCAGAACCCCAGCTGGGATTTACATTTTTAAGTAGTTTTAGGTTTATGACCAACTGAGTGGGAAGTACAGGGAGTTCCTGTAGACTGCCTGACCCCTTAACGCCTTGTCCCACGTAGAGGTGCTGATGTTTTAAGAGTCCATTATTATTATTTTTTTTTTAAAGAGACAGAGAGAATTTTAATATTTATGTATTTTTTAGTTTTCGGCGGATACTACATCTTTGTTTGTATGTGGTGCTGAGGATCGAACCCGGGCCGCATGCATGCCAGGCGAGCGCGCTACTGCTTGAGTCACATCCCCAGCCCTTAAGAGTCCATTATTAAGGGATCGTTTACATGCAGTGAAACTTACCTATTTTAGGGTGTGGTTCCTTGGATTTTGATGTTTGTGTACTGTCATGTAGCCACACAACCAAGTTCCATCACCTCATAAAGTGACCTCTGTCCCTCTGCTGTCCACACTCTCCCATCCTCAACCCCTGTGACCTGCACAACTTGCTCAGGTTGTACCTTTCTTGAATGTCCTATAAATGTCACCACACTTCATTGCCTTTGGGTCTAGCTTCTTTCCGTTGGCATGGTGCATGCAGGATACATTCATGTCAAAAGGGGTACAGTGGTTCCTTTTTTACTGCTGAATAATGTTCCTTTGCATGGATGGACCACAATTTCTTTATTGTTATTGAAGGCCACCCAGGTTACTTTCCAGTTTGGGGATTATGGTTACACCTGCTATAGAGATATAGGTTTGTTCAAGGACATGTTTTCATTTCTCTGGGGGAATTACCTAGGAGTTTAGTTGCAGAGTCACATGGGAAGTGTCTGTTTAACTAATAAGAAAGTCACACATGTCATCTCTTATCTCTCAGAAGGTGCTTACCACTTATAGTTGTTGATCCAAGTAGCTAACACGTGGTGAATGTGACGTGTGTGCAGAGAATTGGGGAACCAGCTAGCCGGGTTGGCAATACCTAGCTGTCGAGTAGGACTTGAGGAAGGGGAAGATTCACATGCAGGATTCCCCTGCTTCAGGGCAACAGCCCTCAGTAAGAGGAGACTGCGGTGGAGCCTCCCTGCGGGCAGAGAGTGCTGTGTGAACCCTGATGCTGTGTGTGAGGTGGAGGTGCTGGGGAGGATCTGTTTTGTGATGTCTCTTTGTCTCCACTCTCCAGTGTGGCATTGTCCTGGGTGCCCTGCTCTTGGTCTTCTGCTCCTGGATGACGCATCAGTCATGCATGTTCTTGGTGAAGTCTGCCAGCCTGAGCAAACGGAGAACCTACGCCGGCCTGGGTGAGTACTGGCTCTTGGAGTAGTTGGTTCAACACAGTTCAACACAGGGGCTGGGTTGAAGTCACTGGCTGGCCTTCTCTGCGCTTAAGCCCTTTCTCAAGAAGCATGACATTCTACCTCTGGGGCTGTGGGGTCTTATTCCTCTGATTTGGTTGTTTTTCTTCCATTTTATTTCTTAAATTAATTATTATTGTTGCTATTTTTTGCTGTACTGGAGATTGAACCCAGGGGTGCTCTACCATTGGGCTCTACCTTTAGCTCCTGATTTTTTATTCTGAGACAGAGTCTTGCTTAGTTGTTCAGGTTGGCCTTGAACTTGTGATTCCCCCTGCCTTAGCCTCCTTACCGTGGGGATAAAAGGTGTACTCCACTATGCCCAGCTCTACTTTATTCTTAATGAGTTTCTTGGACATCAATGTTCTTTCTTATTTTAAAATTTAATGCAATTTAAAATAAAAGTGTTAATAGAATCACCTGCTTCAGTATTGAAGTGATAGGGAAAGGTTGAGGTGTCAGGTCTCCCACTTGCTCTCCTGCACCCCCACTCTGAGCGGGTGATGTATGTACTTTCCTCTCCAAGTCTGGCAGGGATAGCTATGCTCACCCTCTTTAGGGCTGCCTGGCTGTGTCACTCCCCTTACCCAGAAGCCTTCCTTGGAGCTGTCGAAAGGGATTCTCCTGAACTCCCCACCTGGAAGTCTATGGAGGATCTTGTTCTGAGCTTTGGCTGTATCTGGGATTAGACGGACAAAGACGATAGGCTTTGTCTGTCTCCTGGTTCCCTTGCTGCGGTTTTGTTTCCTGTAGTTTTTTCTTCCTTTAATGTGACTTTAGTCAGAAGGAGTGAAGGCTGTGCTCTCCATTTCGGTTTGGGCTCTTAATACTTTGGCTTTGAGGGCACCGCCTTCACTCTCCTGTCTGCCTGCCTAGTCTGGTGTATTCAGCCAGGGTAGTGTGTGTTCTGTTCTCTCCAGGTCTCTCTGCCTGCCTTGGCTCCCTCCTCTCAGCTCTGGGGGCACAGGGAGGAGACTGGTGAGAGGAAACAGGGTGCAGAATTACAGGGCTGAAGAAAGTAGACTCCTCTGGACATGCACAGTGAACTTGGGCATAGCCTCTCGTTTCCTCCCAGCCTGCCTTGCACTGGCACTGGGACACTAGTATTTGTTTCTGACTCCAGAACCCAGGGACCCCTTCCTTCTCTTCTGCTCTTGAGGATAGTGGCACTCAGTCTTTCGTTGTCATTGAGTATGTATGAGTTATTGGTGAAACTTGACCCATACTGAGAGGGCCTAACTGCTAGGTCTGAAGTAGTCCCTTCCTGGTCTGCACACCTGTGGCTGGTGAGATGCTTGTCCCCACTGAGGTCTTCCTCTGCATTTTATAGCAGAGACTGCAGCTTCGTACTCATACTGTATCCTGAAAGAAGTTGTGGGGCCCTCGGCTGGGAAGGTCATGGCTTTTGATAACTGGCTGGCTGATTATTCTTCGAAAGTTCCTGAGAAGTCAAACCGGTTTGACAAGATGTGAAAGATTGAAAGAAAATTGCCTTGTGAGCAGTGCTGTATGCTGGCCACCTGGGCTCCAGCCTTAACCACGTGGGCAACTGCTGCCCAGCTCGTCCTGCTGCATGTGGACACCCTCCTTCAAGCCTCGTTTCATTTCAGAAAATGCACAGGCATCAGAATCGATTGTTTAGATGCCATGACCCCCATGAAACTTTCTGAGCCCTGGACGTTGCCCTGAGTTATGGCCAAATCCTGGCACGTGTGGTCTGGGCTGGAAGCTGCTTCTGCTGCAGCAGGGACCTCTGAGTTCTTGGTTGTGAGCAACCAGTGTTGCCGGTGCCGTGTCACACACATTCCATGGCCCTTGGGCTTCCTGGGCGTGTGCTGTGTGGCTTGGGAAACAGGGCTGTCAAACTGAGCTTTCAGACCCTTTCCACCCTTGGCTTTCTCCTGCTGTGTGCTGCTGGCCCTGTGTCCCATGCAGCAGTTGGGTCCCCAATACCATTCCTCCCCTGGTTCCAGGAGGAGCTGTGTTGAAGTCACTGGCTGGCCTTCTCTGCCTTGTATGTGTTGTCCTTTTTTTTAATGGGGGTTATTGGGGATTGAGCTCAGGTGCATTCGACCACTGAGCCACACCCCCAGCCCTATGTTGTGTTGTATTTAGAGACAGGTCTCACTGAGTTGCTTAGCCCCTCAGCTGAAGCTGGCTTTGAGCTCATTATCCTCCTGCCTCAGCCTCCCGAGCCACTGGGATTACAGGTGTGTGTGGCGTGTTGTTCTGTTTTGAACAGCACCCCTTCTCTGCCCCGTGTGTCCCCCCATCTTGCACAGCACCCCCTTCTCTCCTTTGCTGCTGCTGGGTTTTGCAAGCAGGAGAGGGTGGGAGTCAGCTCTGCTGGGCAGCCTGTGGTGCTGGGGAGGAAAAGGTGGCCCTGTTTCTCAGGGTCCAATGAAGGCAGGAGGCAGGCAGGTGGAAAGCCTGGGTGCTTCCCTGGTGCCAGAGCCAGCTGGCCTCCTCGTCCCCATGTGGCCTGCCCTGGATGGAGGAGGGGGCCCATGAGTGTGGGGAAGGGTGTGCCCACCCACACTGAGGTGGTTCTTGGACACCTGCAGACACTGGGGTGTGGGTGAGCCAGGGGAAAAGAAGAGAGAAGAGGGGCGGCTGCAGTGACAGGGCCTGGTTTTGGCATGGCCCTGCTTGGAGTCATGTTCTAGGAGCCAGAAGAGAGCTCTGCCTCTCACTTCTTCTCTGATTTCCTGTGGGCTTTCCACTCTCCCATGTCTGGATGCAGGCATGTTCTGGAACTTTTCTGCAGCAGGCATTCCAGTGTGAAGCATCCTGTAGACTCAGCTTTCTTTTGGAGAAGAATTGGGGATGGGCAGGTACCATCACTTCCACCTGTGGGACTGGAGATTCTGTGTCCTGCCAGCTGGTGCTTAGGTCTTGATCAGCATTCTGGATTCTGGGTAGGGATCAGGCTCAGGCTTTGGCTTTTGTTAGATGCACTTGAAGGGTGCCAGCTGAGTTTGGGAAAGGCCAGAGTGACCCCTGGAGGCAGAAGCCTTCTCTGCTCTCAGGATGGGCCTAGGCTAAGGCCAGTTCTCCAGCTCTTGCCAATACAGGGCCTTTCCCAAGTAAATTAAAAATGACGGGATCATTCATACCCAACAGGCTGCATGTTTCCTGCTTTCAGACCTTGCCAGGGGGCCTCCAACCCCCTGTGAAGGAAATGAGCAGGAAGCTGGGGCTGCTGACAAGGATGAAGCCATCCTGTCACATGCACCCCCTTTGGGCTGCTCCTTGGAGACCAGAACTTCCCCTTCCCCTCATCTGACTGGACCATAGGGAAATTGATGATGACCAGATCACCATCAGGGTCCTGGGAGGGACTTTGCCAAGTCAGCAATTTCTCATTTCTAGAAATGATTCTGGGGTCAGGAAGGAAAGACAGAGGCTCCGTTTGTGGTAGGGTGCCCTGTGTTGTGGCAGTGCCCACTGTTCATCAGTGCAGCATTCTGGCTGTCTACTTGGACACGGGCAAGCCCCAGAGCTCTCCTCTCCTCCCTTGGTCCCAAGAGTGACATGCTCATAAGATTGTGTTTCCTTCTGCAAGTCACTATTGAAGGTTGAAGACAAAAGCCCTCCTTCCTGTGCTGCAGGCTTGGAGATCGGCCTTCTGGCCAAGGGCTGGACCTGCGGGGTGCCTGCAAGCCCTGGAGACCTTTCCCCTGTGCCCTCGGTATTGGCCCTGTTCTAGGCAGGCCTCCTCGTGGTCGCCACATGCTGGGAACCTCTGCTTTGTGGGGACTTTTCTCTGTTTCTTTTTAAAAATATTGTCATGTGGGGCTGGGATTGTGGCTCAGCGGTAGAGCGCTTGCCTCTCACATGCGAGGCCCTGGGTTCGTTCCTTAGCACCCACATAGATAAATAAAATAAAGATATTGTGTTCAACTACAACTAAAAATATATATATTAAAAAAAAACAACATTGTCATGTGAAAAAACAACCTGACTTTTGTCTCCCTTGCTTTCTTTTTGTCTCATGTGGTTTTGTTTATGGAGGGTGGATTCCCCAAAATGCCTGGGGCCAGAATTTGAAAGTATCCCCCCCCTTAGATCCATAACACATAAGACCAGTGGGTTTGGGTCACATGGTCTCACTGCCCTGCTGCTCACCGTTGGACTGAGCGCTTTTCTTCTCTTTGGTGCTAGCGTTCCACGCCTATGGGAAGGCCGGGAAGATGCTGGTGGAGACCAGGTAAGCCGCGAAGCCACACCCACCTTCTCTTTCCTTCATCATTACCTGCAGCTGCAGATGCTGCGGATGTAGGAGGCGAATGGCCTGTTTCACATGCGGATTGGTTTATAACTTAGTCAAAAGTCTAATGTGTCTTATTCTGAAAGTGATTGCTGCAAGGTTGAAAGCCTTACACAAGTCTTACCAAGAAGTCCATAAAGCTGGGGAACTTGGAACCCAGTAGAATAGCTCTCCCTCCACTGTAAATAACGGCTCAGTGCTGTTCCCTTACCTGTAACCCAGCACTGCTGCAGATAGGCGGATTAAACTGAGGCATGTTTTTTTCATTTGGACTAAAATTTTATGAGATGAAACTTTGCTGGGAAATTGCAATTTTATTTATATGCTTATTTTTTGGTACTGGGAAATTGTACTTTTAGCTTTCTAAATTAGGGAATTGTAAACTTGCGGGGCGAGGCCTCCCTTTTTTGGGAGCAGATCATCGTTCTTTTTTTTAGTGCTGGAGATTGAACTCAGAGGCACTGGACCACTGAGCCACATCCCTAGCCCAATTGTATTTTATTTAGAGACAGGTCTCACTGAGTTGCTTAGTGCCTCGTCGTTGCTCAGGCTGGCTTTGAACTCACGATCCTCCTGTCTCAGCCTCTGAGCTGCTGGGATCACAGGTGTGCGCCACTGTGCCCTGCTAGATCATTGTTCTTTTAACTTGTCTTACGTCATGATGCATTTCTGCACAGCTAAAAGAACTTTGAGACCCTCCTGTCGAGAGAAAAATACAGTACCACACAGAGAAGTTTACTGTTGTTCAGTCTTCACTCCAAGTACGATAGAGTGCACCCCACTCATGCCCAAGTCCTGTGAACTTGGACGTTTGAAATTGCACTCTCATCCCACCAGCCTATGCAGTCATGGGTCAGCACAGCCCAGGGAACAGGTTTCCTGGCCTTCAGTCCTGTCCTCAGGACTTGCAGGCACCTGCTCCCTGCTTCAGTCATGACAAGATGTCCCACTCCTTCAAAATACTGTTTCAAACCCACGGTTTCCTTTGTTGCAGCATGATTGGGCTGATGCTAGGAACATGCATCGCCTTCTATGTGGTGATCGGTGACCTGGGGTCTAACTTCTTCGCTCGGCTCTTTGGGTTTCAGGTAAGGGCGTTCTCATCTCTTCTGGTCTGTTGGCCTGCTGGAGGTTGTCTGTGGCACCTAGGGGTCAGGTCACTCCCACTAGCCAGCTGAGATCGGTATGCTTGGCTGGGAGACGCTCCCTGGGCCTCGAGTCCACTGATGCTCCCTGAGCTGGAGCTCGAGGCCTTGCTGTGGTAGCCTCTGTGGAGGTGGCGGAGAGGCAGGACGCGCAGCTGCCGTGCTGCCCATGGCTGTAGGCATGAGCGGGGAGGAGGGGCAGTGGGACATCTCACAGCAAGGTGCAGCGCAGAGCAGGTGAAGTGGCCAGGCCCTTGTTGGCCACTGTGCTCAGGTATCGGTTAGAGTGGCCACCCTGGGAGCTCTGTCTTTATCCTGCTGAGGTGGACGTGAGGGCACTGCGGCCAGGGCTGTTGGACTCACGCTTTGTGCAGTCTGGGGGATTCCGTGTGGCATCCTCCAAGCTTGGTGTTCCTGCCCCTGAGGGTCCCATCTGTGAACTGGGCCCCTCACATACCTCTTTACTTCCCTGATGGCAGCAAAGCTGTAGCCAGAGGCTGGCTAGGGTGAACACATGATGTCGCATAAAGGGTCTTCTCTATGAAGAGTTCTTCATATTTGGATGCCAGTGGGGTAGAAAAGGATTTCAGTTTGCAAAGATTATGGCTGGGGGGAGCAGTCCTCTGCATGAGTGGAATGTGCCAGACTTACACATTGCCAAGAACATTCCAGTGAGTGAGTGTGGCCCTGGTCTGTGCCCTGAGCATGTCTTCCCAGTTGATTTTCTACTTCCCAAGTCTCACCATGGACTCTGTAGACGTAGTTCTGCCTGTAGAACACAAGGGGACCGTCTTTGTACCACCAGCTGCACCCCAGGTCCAGACGTCTCACTGGTCCTGTGGGACGCACAGGAGAGACAGTGGTGGCTGCTGCTGCCTGGCAGTGCTTCCCAGCAGGCCAGTGTGTGCAGCACCTGTCCATCTCATCCCCCTTAGTGGGTTGTCGAGGTCACTCTGCATGTGTGACGCTCCCATGCTGAGAGGCATGGGGCTGGGATAGGTGCGCAGGTGTTTGGAGCTGGGAGAATGTGTCTTGGCAGAGCCCCCACCACCCCTGGCTGGCTGCCGGCAGCTCTGAAGCTGGGTAAGCATGTATCAGCTGCAGCCAAGTGACATGTCAGGTACCCCAGACCCTTGCAGGTTCTGCTAAAGTAAACACAGTCTGGAGTTTTGCCACTGATTTTTCTGGATCAGTATTTCAAGAGTCCTAGCCTGCTTGAAGCAAGGTTGGCTTTGAGTTGGCTGGAGAAGCAACCTGTGGTAGGTTCTCTGGGTTTCTGTCAGCCTGGGTGCTAGGCTCCCACCACCTTCCTTCCCTGTGTGAAGTAGGGAACAGCTGACTTTTTCTTTCTTTTTCTTTTTCTTTTTCTTTCTCTCTCTCTCTCTCTCTTTTTTTTTTTTTCCGGCTCTGGCTGATCTCATTCTGGGGTGGACTGTATCCCATGGTGTTCAAAAATGTGCACTGAGCCACACTGCCCAGTGACCTTGAGGGCCACTTCTGGAGACTCACCACCTTCTGCTTTAGATGCTGTTGGTCCCCTAGGCCCCATGGTGCTCCCCATACCCTTGCTAGTGAGTGAGCTCAGGGCTGCAACCCAGGAGACCCTGCTGATTCCCTTCTAGGTGACCGGCACCTTCCGTGTGTTCCTGCTCTTCGTGGTGTCCCTGTGCATTGTGCTCCCACTCAGCCTACAGAGGAACATGATGGCCTCCATCCAGTCCTTCAGTGCCATGGCTCTCATCTTCTACACTGTCTTCATGTTTGTGGTGAGAGCCTTGTGCCCTGTGGAAGGGCTCAGTCACATGCCCAGACCTGGTTTATCTGCCAGTGCCTCTTGGGGAACCATGGGGAAGTGGCTCAAAGCCTGAGAAATGTTTTAGAAAGATCAGAATGTGCATGAAGCCCACAGGTCTCGTGGCCAGTGAGCACTTTCAGCAGGAGTGGCTCTGGGGACTCAGGTGTAGCACCTGCATAGTTTCGTTTCTTTTCTTTTTTTTTTTTTTTTTTTAATGACACTGGGGATTGGATCCAGGGCTTTGTGCATGCTGGGTAAATGCTCTCCACTGAGCTACATCCCCGGCCCTATGTCTGCATTTTTCTGGAAAGACCTTTCATGTGGGATTTGTGATCCAGAGCATAGCAGTTCAGTTTTTTGTCCCATAGTGGCAAGTTATTGTTTTTTTTAAGTGAGCATTTTGGTGGACTAGGCTGGAAGATAAAGTGTAGCACTGACACTGAGGATAGGGAGGCTTCCCTGGGAGAGCCTGCCCCGTGAGTTCCTTGGGACTTGAGCTGTTCACAGCAAAATTAGAATGGATTCTTCCTGAGGGAAGGGCCCTGGTGTTTCTACAGGCGGCTTGCACTGGAGCCAGCTGCGGGTTATGTGCTGGAGCTGCAGTTTCTGGCATTCCACAGCTCTCTGAGGACTAGTCTAGCATGTTAGGTCCTTGCCCTTCAGAGAGCTGCCCCTCGGTTGGTTGAGCTCTTGAAAGACGTCTGTGCTCAGCATGATCCAGGGCCAGGGAAGGACCTTTCCATATTGAGGAGACTGTCCTCTGTAATTTGACGGGCACTGGGACTGGGCAGGGTGAGTGAGCAGGGTTGTGCTTCTGCCTGGGCTGAGTGGCCCTTGTAGAAAGTGGCTCGGATGTGAGCAGGGAATGGGAATCCTATGCAGCTGGGTGCATTCCTTTGACAGTGTCCAGCCAACCTGTGGCATGAACCAGAGTTCTCCAGGGCAGGAGGCAGAGAGCCCGGGAAGGCGTGGGGTCCTCCAGCCGCAGAGTGGAGTGGGAAGGGCCGCTTGCCTCCTGCCTCAGGAGGTCGGCCGAAGGAGGCTGCTCCTGACCTATGCCCTGCTCTCTCCTTGCAGATTGTGCTGTCTTCCCTCAAGCATGGCCTTTTTGGTGGGCAGTGGCTGCAGCGGGTCAGCTACGTCCGTTGGGAGGGTGTCTTCCGCTGCATCCCCATCTTTGGCATGTCCTTCGCCTGCCAATCGTGAGTACTGCTGGGGTGGGTGGTGGGGGGAGGGTGCAGACGGCCGTGCCCAGTGCCTGTCTTTGTCAACCACACGGAGCTAAAGAGTGCTGTCTTGTTCCAGTGTGACCTGTGAGTTCTGTGTGACCCGGAGAGACTCTTGCTGGGACTGGCTGGCTGGAGCGCCTGCTTTGCCAGATCCTGGGAGAGGAAAGCTGGCTGTGGGTGCGGCAGCAGCACAGCCATCTGATTGCGCAGAGTCCCGAGTGTTTTGCCAGAATTTAGCTGCTGTTCTGAGAATGTTGAGAGGAAATTGCACAAACATTGAGTTCAGGCTGCTGCTGGGACATCTCCGGTCTTGTGTGTGCGCAGGCGGGCAGGCTCACTCTGGCACTTGGGGCTCTGTGAATTCAGATCAGGCTGCTCCGCCATCGCAGCGGCAGTACCTTCTCTACCAGGGTGGCAAGAGCTAGTGATTCATGCCTGGACGGGAGCAGTAACTGGCTGAAAAGAGAGGCGTAAATCCGGTGCGGACGGGAAAAGACCATCAGCGTGCAGGGGGCTGGCAGAGTGGGCCCCCCCATAGCAGCAGTGGGCATGTATTATGCCAATCGTAAACTAATGTGACAGATAAAATTTGCTCACACTGCTGTGTTTACACCCACATACGAGATCCAAATCGTCATTTCCCACTTACCATCTCTCTCTTGGCAGCTCGGTTTCCGCCAGAACGTGCTCCAGCCTTGCTGTTTAATGTCCCCATTATCATCGGTGACAGAAGTTGCATTCTTGCACTGTGTACCTAGTTACCAGTTGTCCTTTCTGTCTGTGTGTTTGGGTTGTTTTAAACCTAAGCCTGTAGTCTGGCTGCTTCAGTGGTGTCCACATAGCAGCCAATGCACATCTGTTGGGGTTTGATTCTCAGGCGAGTTGTGGATTGGGAGGGGGATCACAGGCAGCTATGTGCAGGTTTGTCCTCTTCCCAGAAGGGCCTAGGGCCAAAGACTTGTCCTCTTCATCCATGCCGGGCAGCCTGCTGCCCTGGAGCCTTGAATACTCGAATGTTCGCCAGGTGCAGTGACAGGGTCTCTTCACTCCCAGGGCACTCTGCAGCCAGGAGCCTGTCCCTGTTGGTCTCGTTTTCAGATTCACTGTGTGGTCCTCCTGGCTTCACACAGTGAATGCTGGCTGATGCAGAACTGTCATCCTGTGCCCAGAGAGGTGGCTGTGTTAGCATTGATCATAGGAGGCCTGGGGAGGGCAGTCTCCCTGGAGACCTGGGTCCCAGTCCCAGTAGTGGGGACAGCTATGATGGAGGCTACTCTGTGAGGTGGGTGGTCTGGGAACACCTTCGGGTGCCAGCAGTGGTGCTCAGAGTCACGCCCTCCAGGGGAGCATGGGAACTTTGTGGAGGGGGCTGGGAGGTCTATGTCTCTGACCTTTCTTCTGTCCAGTCCAGGGGATAGTCCAGGGGTCCCTGGGAATGCAGGTTAGAGGAGAGCCTGTGACTTGGCCTCTCCACCCTGTCCATCCCCAGGTGTCCCTCCTCGTAGCTGCTGCAGCTTCCTCCCAGTAGTTCTCTGAGTGTATTGGGGTCAGGGGCAAGCATGCGTCATGGGTCTCTGGTGCTGATCCCCACAGGCTGGGTTCCTGGTGTGGTCCGGCTCTGGGCAGATGGTGAGCACTGAGAAGCTGGTTACAGGACATAGTCTTCTCCAGAGCTTTGGGGCCGGGGCTTTTGGTATCTTCCTTTGGCTTTCTGCTGGGCTGCATGGGCATGTGGCTGCCAGTTCCTGCCTATCCTGACTGCTGTGGTGGCCTGTGTTGAGGTGGCCTGAGGGACAGTGTGCCGTGAGCTTGGGTGAACAGCCTCACCGGGCTGGGCCTTCCCACCTGTTTGTTTTCGTCTGCTCTTGGATCTGGCTCGGGTGTTCTTTTTTGTTTTTCTTTCACTTTTAAAAGGCAGTTTTGTTATTTGGCTCAACTGACCTTGTGCTTATCTACTTAGTAGCTGCTGATTTTCTGCATCCTGACCTTCTCCTCCTGCCCTGCACTGACCTCGTGTCCTTTGTGCCTTGAGCCTAGGTTGCCCTAGAGGGCACCACTGGACTCCCTCTTGAGCCTGAGTCAACCCTTGTGCCCTTACTGAGACTGCTCCCAGCATAGCTCCCACCTCCTCGTGGCCCCGTCTCCTCCTTTCTGTCTTGGCTCCCACCCCTTGCAGGCATCCTGTCCCCTGAGCTTTCCTCAGTGCTGCCTCATGTCCTCAGGGTGCAGTTGCAGAGCCTGTGTGGGGCTGTCATCCCCTGCCCAGCCAGTGACTGGGTCCCTCCCATCTGCCCAGTAGCACCATACTTCTGGCACCAGGTATGAGGCAGGAGCCAGTGTTCTCATCACACAGATAAGAGGCTGCCAGCTGGGCAGTGTGTCTGTGTTGTCCCCTCTCTGCGCATTCCACTCCCACCTGGCCAGAGTGCTGGCGGGGCTACAACTGCCAGGCTTGTTCCATTGGACTCTCCCTTCCCTGAGGTGTGTCTGAGCAGCTGCCTTAATCCTCAGTGCCATGCTCTCCGCAGTGGGCATCTTGTGTCCCCTCGACACAGATGGCCTTGGCTCTGTAGTACTTGTGAGCTATCCATGTGGAACATGTTCTGGGGGCTGGTCTGGGGGCCATCACGGTGCTGCCACTGCTGTGTCATGAGACCTGCTGGCTTTAGGGTGGTGAGTCCGTGTGTGATGAGTGCCATGTGAAGAGGTGCTAGTGGCCAGACTGCAGAAGAGGTCCTGGGAGCTGGCCGCCAGGGCGGGCGAGGCTCTGCAGAGCCTGCTTTAAGAACCTCTTGTCTCCACACAGCCAGGTCCTGCCCACCTATGACAGCCTGGACGAACCGTCAGTGAAGACCATGAGTTCCATATTTGCCTCCTCTCTCAACGTGGTCACCACCTTCTATGTCATGGTAGGACCCTGTTTGTGCCTCTCCTCTCCTGGGTCGCATCAGCAGGGGGCTCTAGCCCTTGAGACCCTTCATTATGCAGAGGTGTCACTGTCCCATTCCAGTGTCCGGGGGTGCACTGCTCATGTAGCAACCCAAAACAGGTCCTCTTCTCAACCCCGGTCATTACTGGGCTGGTCGTGCTAGGCCTTTCACCCTAGGCTGCGTTGACACCTCCCAGTCTGAGGAACCCAGCACCTCAGCAGCAGAGCTGCCCAGACTGCTCTAGTAGAGGGACTCTGCTTACCCTCTCCCAGAACTTTGTTAACTTACTCCAGAGGTGGGGTGTGTCCACTAAAGAGAAATGAGGAGGTATCAAATAGTAGGAGAGAATACCTCAAGTCCCAATCTGTAAATGCAGTCACTGTTAGCATTTTGGTAAATTTTTCTTGCAGTCTTATTGCTCCAATTTCTGTCTTTCAATCAGATTATAAGTAGGAGAAGGTGTGGCCTCTTTCTTTTGCTTTTGTGCTTCTAGTGTTGCTCTAGGTAACTAGGGATGGTCCCTGGCAAGCATCGTCCACTCCTGCGTCTACTTCTGTAGAGGATCATGGTTCCCTGGTTGTGTTTTGGACCCAGATTACGAGTGGGTCCTTGGAAGGGCTTGGGAGCACTCTGGTGCCTGCCTTCCACCCAGGCAGCTCCGTTTTCTCCTCCCTGGGACCCTCTTGGAAAGCTGTGTTGGACTCCTCATTTAGCATTTTAAGATGGCCTCTGCTTGTCAGAGGGGGCGGCGTTTTACAGAGGAGGAGCCGAGTGGCCTTTTTGTCCCTGGCAGGCCCTCTCTTGAACCAGCTTCTTTGGGAAGGGGCTTGAGGGCATTCTGGGAGCAGCCCTTCTCCCCACACTCTGCCATGTTGCTGTTTCCTCTGACAGGTGGGGTTTTTTGGGTACGTCAGCTTCACTGAGGCCACTGCAGGCAACGTATTGATGCACTTCCCCTCCAACCTGGTGACAGAGATGATCCGCGTGGGCTTCGTGATGTCGGTGGCTGTGGGCTTCCCCATGATGATCCTGCCGTGCAGGCAGGCCTTGAACACGCTGCTTTTTGAGCAGCAGGTATGGTTCTTGGGGTGTCCTCCACTGCTTGTGCTCATCCTGTTTTCGTAGGTGGTGGGAGGGGGGCTTTTCCTAGTTAAAAACAAGCAGGCTTCAGTGGGAACAGTGCTGAGAATGTGCTTAACCATTCCAGCCCCTAGGAGGCAATTTTTAAGCCAACTTTGGAAGAAAGAGGACCAAAGACGGGCCTTTGGGGTCAAGCCAGGTGTGCCAGAAGCTTAGGTTGACCTCTGATTTCCCAGCATGGATACTGTCATCAGAATTAGCGGGAACAGAAGCAGCTTTTGTTTTTGAGCAGTCCTGGGGAGGGATGGAGGAACCAGATGACCGCCAGTGTTGACAAAGGCTGGAGGCAGGGCTGGGCTTGTTACACTGCCTTTTTACTTTTGTGTGACTTGGGAAACCTTAACAATTAAAAGGTTTCTGTACTGCTGTGTGTGTATTCAAGATAGCTGCCTAGGCCTTTACAAGAAAATTTCTCATAGAGGTTTGAAACAGAAAGGCTTTCTTGGTTCCTCACTGCTGTTGCGTGTGTATCAAAGACATTCGTATGATACTTGGGCCCAGGTTATTTGGGCTTGGGCCCCTCTCCAGAGTGTCCACAGGAGCCTTGCACCATCTTGGCTTCCCACCTACCTGTCCAGAGGTGCTTAGCTAAACGGTCTGCAGCGACTGGAAGCTTCTCTGTGGTAGCATATTCTGCCCTAGGTCGTTGGGCCCCACCTATCTTGTCAGCTGGGACTCCTGGTGGCCAGGGACACAAGGTCACTTAAACTACTATGGCAAGGGGTTGTTTAGTGGTCCTAGAGAATCCAGGGGAGAGTCCAGCGGGCAGACTGGGAAGGGCAGCTGGCACAGGGCTCCCTGCCCGTGAAGGCCAGGGACATGGTTGTGGCAGAGCTGCAGCTCTTGTCTCCTTGTGGACTCTGGCATTAGCAATGGCAGAGGCCTAGTCCAGAGACCAAGTGCCCTTCATGTGCTGGCACCCTGGTCTGCCTCTGCTAGCATTCAGGCACCTGTAGCCAAACAAGGCAGAGGTTAGGACTCAGGCTCTTGCAGGGCAAAGGTGAGGCCTGCTCATCTGGCTGTGGAGTCCTCCCTGGCTCACCCCACCCTGCTTCCACCTGTGGGTTGCTGAAGTCCATCTGTCTATGTTTGGTGGAAACATGTATTTTGTATTGCAACAGCATTTGTGCATTTGCATACATTTTATCATTTTTTTTGTAAAGTAAAAAAAAATCAATAGTGGCATGAAAGGCAGTATCAAGGAAGAAAGTTCACCTGCAGTCTTCCCGTAAGTAGCACTGTGTACCTGCTGCCCCACCTCCTGGGTCTGATTACAGAAGCACAGCACCATCCCTCCAGCTCCTTGTCCCTCTGTCTTCTGCGGGTGTGTAGGAAGCTTTTCTCTGAGAGTCCTTGGAAATCTCAGCACCTGCACCCTGTTATGGATGGTTCCTAGCCTTTTCCCCTTGACCTCCTTGGGTCACTGGCTTATGAATGTGCACACGGTTCCCCTACTTCCCCTTTTCTTGGAGTATTTCTTAGCGTATTCTTGGTAAACCTGTAGTACTGGGACTCCTGGGCTATAGACCTTAAAACCTTGGACAAATTGTCGCACCAGAGTAGAAATTGTGGCTCCAGCCCTCTCTCAGTTCATCCTGTGTCAGTCTATTCTGAAAATTGGTGCTTTGAAATTCTAGTTCTGAAAGGTTCTGCAGTTGTTTCTAGCCAGAGATCAGCATGGTCAGCCCTTCCTGTGTGTTAACTCATTGGGTCCTCACTGCAGCTTGATGAGATGTTTCTCTTGGCAGGGGGAACCTGAGGCAGGTGAGTGGCAGAGCCAGGATCTGAACCAGGTAGTCTGGAGCTCCTGGATGGGATTCTAAGGCCAGCTGCCTCTGCCTGTGCCACTCCACCTGGAAAGTGTTCTGTGTTCTGTGCGTGGCATGCATGAGGCCGGGTGCAGGGGGCTCTGCCACTTTATACAACGCCCCCCCTTTTTTTCTTCTTCTTCCCGGACTTTGAAATTGTTATTTGCTCATTATGGACCATTCAGAGATGACGGTAACACAGCCAGGTGCATGGGGGCATGCCCACGTGTGGCAGGGCCTCTGCCTGAGCTCTGCAGCCTGCATTTGGGAGATGCCGGCTGCCTCCCTGCAGAACAAGTGTTGTCTGCATTTGGTGTTTCTTTTGATAATCTCTCTGTGGCTTTGCTCTGAAAATGAAAAGGAAAACGGAAGGACTTGACTCTGTCTTCTGTGGGTGTGTAGGCCAAATTTTAGGATGGGTGGTCAGCACCTGGGTAGAGAGCTCTCTAGCCGTGCTGCAGGGCTTACCTGCCAGGAGCTCCCTTCCCCCAGCGTGGAGCCTGGTGCGTTTGTCAGAGCCCAGTATAGCATTGCTCCTCAGGAGAGTGGTGAGGAGATCCACCCTTTTAAACCTTTTATTTCCTCCATATAGCAAAAAGATGGGACCTTTGCTGCTGGAGGCTATATGCCGCCTCTCCGGTTCAAGGCACTCACCCTCTCCGTCGTGTTTGGAACCATGGTTGGTGGCATCATGATCCCCAATGGTAGGTAAGGTGGGCGGCCCCTCCTTTCTCTCCACTTCTACTCCATTCTTGACGTTCCACACAAGGTCCAGGTGTCCCTGCCCTGTGTCTTGGCATTCAGCCAAGGCTCCCAGCTCCCATGCCGTCCTCTGGTCTCCTACTAGCCCAGAAACTCCCAGGCTATTTTTTCCCTTGGCCCACAGAGAAGCAGGGGATAGCGTTGGCAGCCGGATGGAGCAGCAAATGTGTGTTGACACCAAGCAGTTCGGCACCTGGGCAGAGACTCAGAGCTGGGACATGGGCCCAGTTTGTAAAGTGAATGGCTGTAAAGCTGCTGCTTCCTTACTGTCACTATTGACTCCCAACTTGTCGACACAGTACCCAGGGGAAGGTCCGAGGCCCAGAGCAGCACTTTCAGTGTCCAGAGGCACACACTCCCTCACAGACGTGGTGGGTGGAGCTTGTCACCAGATAGGAACTTGCAGGTGCCCTCCCCAGAAGCCACCTGTCCAGGTTTTTCCTGGGACTCTACCTGGCCAGCACACTTCTGCCCCCTGGCTTTTGTTGTGTGCTAGGACTAGTCACTGAGTCACCTGTGAAATTGCAGGCAGTATGACCTAGGCCATGTGGAGTCAACAACTGATTTTGGTAGGAAATTCCAGATGACTGCCCTTTAAAGACTGGCAGCCAGAGCAGCCTGGTGAATTGACCCTGGTTTGTGGAGCCCTCGGGGCACAGTGGCTGCCTGGCTCCTCACTGACACTTAGCCTTCACCTTAATGCTGCCCACCTGTGCACCAGCTGGGCGTGCAGTCTCTCCCCACGCATGCTCTTTCTGGCTCACCCCTGCTGTTGCATCTGTTCCAGTGGAGACTATCTTGGGTCTCACGGGGGCCACGATGGGGAGCCTCATCTGCTTCATCTGTCCGGCTCTGATCTACAAGAAGGCCCACAAGAACGCCCTCTCCTCCCAGGTGAGTGTGTGGCCAGCCAGGCTGGCTTGGGAGAGGAGGTGGCGGTGCAGAGCCCCTCTCAGTGTTCAGATGGGTTCTGTTGACTGGTTTTGTTTCCTAGCACAAGGGGAACTTGGTCAAGGAGGCAGTTGGACAGTGGTACAGTCAGGCTGAGCAGTCTCTGTCCTCAGTGTCCATGTGCGTCTGGTGCTTCCCAGAGTTTACCTTCCTGCCCGAGTGCTGGGGCTTCACCGCTTCTCCCCACTACGTGTTTCCGTGTTCTCAAGGCAGCATGCACATGGGGGTGCTTGTGTGTGCGTGCTCATGCTTTTTTCTCCTGTGGTGCTGGAATCAAACCCAGGCTCACACATGCTAGGCAAGTCCACTGCACGACTCTGCACCCAGCCCCACTTTGCACCCTTCCAGGCTGCTTGCACAGCTGTGGTGTGAACCTCAGAGCTGTTGCCAGGAGGAGCTGCTCCCCAGGTTGCCTTCTGGGGACGGTCCATGGCCCAGGCTCCCAGGAGCCTGTCTCGAGCCTTGTGCTGCAGGTCAGCTGTTGTGGGCATTTCAGCGTGTGCAGGAATGTGTCTGTAGGAAGCGTCTGGACACGGGATCTCGGGGCCTTTTGCCCGTGTGCTTGATGACCTCTCGCTCCTACCTTTCCACCTTCCTCTTGGCTTCCCTGGAGTGAACGTGAACGTGGTTTGGAAGCCACTGGCTTTTCTTTTCCTGTGGACTCATGCTTTTTTCACTCTTGATGGGGTCGCTGAGCTCTTTCTTACCCATGTGTATTGGTAGGTATACAGCTTGACCCACCTTTGCAAAGGGTGCCCAGGCACAGAACCACATTCCGGGTCAGGTAGAGAACATTCTGGCACCCAAAACTTCCCTCGGGCACCTCTTGGTCATCCACCCTCACAGTCCAGAGGTTGCTGCTGTCTTCTGTTGATGTTTTGGAATAATTTTTTTCTGTTTTCAAATTGACAGCCTCATGGTGTCTGTCCCTGGGCGTGGGCCCTGTGCTCAGCCTTCCTTCTGAGCTCACCCCTGGGCCTGCGAGGAGTTTGCTGCCCGCGGCTGTGTGCTTTCCTTTCTGTGCCATCACCGCTGTCCACTCACTTGGCAGGACAGGAAGCTGCTAGCCTGCTGTGCCAAGCGTTTCTTCCAGTGCCCGTGGGTGTGTGGCTTGTTGTGCACTTGGGAGGGGGTCCTGGGTGTGGCCTTGGCTCTGCCAAGTGGACTTGTTTTCCACAGTGGCTCCTCCAGTAGCACAGAGAGTCCCCTACACTTCCCATCTCCTCTCCCTTTTTGAGAGCTGCCCTTCTGAAGGGTGGGTGTGGGTGTGGAGGCCCCTCGTTTGGGTCTGTTTGCAGCCCCTGCGTGACTGATGACCTCATGTACCTTTCCATGGGCTGTGAGCCACGTGGGTGTCGCCTTTTGTGACTTCCTTTCAAGTCTTGGTTTTTCTCCTACTGGGTTGTCTGTCTTTTTCTTATTGATTTGTAGGAGTTTAAACAGATTCTGGCCTGGGGTTGTGGCTCAGCAGTAGAGTGTTCACCTAGCACGTGCGAGGCCTTGGGTTTCATCCTCAGCACCACACTAAATAATAATAATAATAATAACAATAACAATGATAATAAATTTAAAAAACAGGTTCTAGATGTAAATCCTTTAAAAAAAAAAAAAAACATATTTTGGGCTGGGGTTGTGGCTTAGCAGTAGAGCCCTTGCCTAGCATGTGTGGGGCCCTGGGTTCGATCCTCAGCACCACCTAAAAATAAATAATTAAATAAAGAAATTGTGTACCTCTATGACTAAAAATCTTTTGTTATTGTTGTTGTAGATGGACACAATACCTTTATTTATTTATTTATTTATTTTAAAGATAGAGTGAGAGAGAGAGAGAGAGAATTTTTTAATATTTATTCTTTAGTTTTCTGCGGACACAACATCTTTGTATGTGATGCTGAGGATCGAACCCGGGCCGCACGCATGCCAGGCGAGCACACTACTGCTTGAGCCATATCCCCAGCCCCACAATACCTTTATTTTATTTATTTTTTTTGTGCTGAGGCTGGAACCCAGGCCTCACACATGCAAGACGAGTGCTCAACCACTCAGCCCCAGCCCCGTGCCTTTTTTTGGTGTTGTTTTTGGTACCAGGGATTGAACTCAGGGGCACTCGACCACTGAGCCACACCCCAGCCCTATTTTGTATTTAATTTAGAGACAGGGTCTCACTGAGTTGCTCAGTGCCTCACTGTTGCTAAGGCTGGCTTTGAACTCATGATCTTCCTGTCTCAGCCTCCCAAGCCACTGGGATTACAGGTGTGGGCCACAGTGCCTGGCACCTTTTTGCTTTTGTAAGGACATCTTTTGATGAACAGAAGTTCTGCATTTTAGGGTAGTCCAGTGTGTGGATCTCTTTTTCCCCTTGGTGCTTTTTGATTCTTGCCTACCCCAGGGTCCTGAAAACAGCTATGCTCTGGAGGCTCACATCTACACCTGTGCCCCACTGGGATCAGTGGGTGTGGGGCAGGCCGTGTGGCCCTGCCCTTGCCCTCCAGTGAGGCTGCCAGGGTCTCTCTGTCCTGAAGCAGCACTGCCCACTTCAGGACTGCAGCTGTGCAGAGTGTGTCCATGGTGGGCAGTTGGAGTCCTCCTGCTGTGTTCCTCTATAAAATATTCTTTCCTGTAGTTGGCTCTTAGGCTTCCTCAAAAATGACCTGTTGAAATTTTCATGGGAGTTGCATTGAAGGGTTGAAATCATTCTTCAGTTCACAAAATTTTCTGATTTCTACTTTCACCCACGGCTTCTTTAGCTTTCCAAACCTTCAGGATTTCCTAGTAATTTTTTTTTTTCCTGCTTTCAAGCTTAGTCCCAGTGTGGTTGGGTAGTACACTACAGAGAATGCCAGTCCTTCTTGGTGAGGTCACTTCCGAGGCCTGCAGCGGCTGCGGCTCAACATCTCGCGGCTGTGTGTACCGCCCCTGGCTTCAGTCGAGGTTTCTAACAGGTGTTCAGGTGCACCTGTGTGTGGCTTATCACTTAGGTGAAGGTGTTGCCTCTTAGTGTGTCATTGGAACACACGGGTTCTGGTTGGTTGAATCTTCTGCCAACCTGACACTTCCCTTGTGAAGGTCCTAGTGTCCGTGGGGCTCCCATGAGCCGGCCTTGTGGCTGCCCTAGCCCCACTTTACAAGTGGTCACTTGTTTACCTTCCTGTGTCCTCTCTGTGCCCTTCTGAGTTGAAGCCATGTCTCTGGCAATGGTGTGTTACTGGGTTTTGTTTTGTTAACAGGAGTCTGTCGTTAGGAGTTGTACGATTACTTTTACGTTTACAGTTAATACGATCACTCATTTCGGGAAGAAACTTCTGTCCTACTCTTTGTTTTTTCTGTTTATTTTCCTATTTCTTTGTTTTGATCAATCAGGCATGTAAAGCATTTACTCTTTTCCTGCTGTGGGTGCACTCTAACCTAGTGGTCACACTAGATACTACAAATCCTCGCCTTGGTCCACTGTGAGTTCCTTTTTTTAGCCACTTCCCAGACAAGGTGCATGTGCCTCAGTAATTTCACCCTGTTTGCCCTCGCAGGCCTTTGGTGCTTCTGTTCTCACTATCACCCATTTTTTTAAAAAATATTTTTTTTTTTAGATATTGATGGATCTGTATTTTATTCATTTATTAATTGAACCCAGCACCTCACACATGCCAGGCAAGTGCTCTACCACTGAGCCACAATCCCAGCCCTATTACCTGTGTTTCAAGTCCTGCCCCTTACTGTTGTTGCCAGTGTGGACAGTTCTTAGGTGGCTCAGCTTGGAGTTGGCGATGGGTGGTGGTGTGAGAGCAGTATGCACCTGGTAGAAATCCTGCTTCACGTTTTGAGTTCACTCTCTCGAGCTGGCATTGCCTGGTGTGTTCTCCTGTGCTGCTGGGCAGCAGCCGTGGCAGTGAGCCCCGCACCAGCAGGGCCCCACTGACGCTGTGCTGTGCTACTCAGCCAGGGTACTAGCAGGCCAGAAGAATTTCATGCAGATGGACTTAGGGTGGTTTCATTGTGGCTTGGGTTCATCAAGATCCCACTGTATATTGAGGAGCACGCGTGGTCAGTCTTGAAGCCCGTGTTCCTCTTTGGTCTTTTGATCTTTGTCATCTGGCCCTGTCTTCTGGTGTGCTTGCTGTTTTGCAGTCATCAAGGCCTGCAGAAGCTGAGTGGTGTGACTTCCGTCCATCAGATAGCTGAGGTGGCCCTGTTCTGCTCAACCCTGTGCTGGTTGCTCTCATTCTCCTGCACGCCCTCCTTGTTCTGTCCTTGCTTGGTTCTTGGCTCAGCTGGTAGCCACACGTGCCTCCAGGAGAGTGGCAGAAGGTGGCGTGGCAGCTTCTCGGGGGCTTCTTTCTCCGAATCCCGACCTCCTCCCATGCGTCTGCCTGAGTCCATTGCCGCCTGCACCGCCCTCACTGTGGCACCACTGGCCCTGGGTGCCATGGGCAGTCAGCCTGGCTTGTCTGAGTGCTCTCCTGCTCTCTGGGTCTCGTTGGGTGGCTTTTGGTTTTGTCTGGCTTCTGTGGCTAAGTGGGAAGACCAGTTGAATACCAGCTCTTGTGCCTGGGCTTGAGGCAGAAGGTCCTTAGTGAGTTTGAAGAAGGTAGCCCGTTGCCTGTCAGACTGCAGGTGTTGTCCCAGTTTCACATCCTCCAGTTTTTAAGTATGTCAAACTTTCTTTTCTTTTTTTTTTTTGAAAAAGACCTTCCCCATGCCAGTATTATTTTTAAGATTCTTTTATCATTTTGTCTAATAGTTTTGTGATTTCATTGTTTTTCATTTAAATTTTTGACCCATCTGTGTTTTATTTTGGTGTGAGAAGCAGATTAGGTACTTTTTTCTAGATGGTGCCTAGCTGTAGAACTTGGTTTATCCAAGTAGTCCTCCCTGGTGGGACCCCGCCACACCCGTGTCGACTGCCACAGCTGCCGCACTGCGTTCCCTCCCACCTGTCCTATTGCAGACCTTGTTTGAATCGGCTGATCTGATGAACAGAAGTCAGTCCCCTGTTTGTTTTTGGTCTAGTTGAAATTAACTCATTGATGCTTTAGATTAATGTAGGAGAATCAGTGTCTTTGTGCTTCATCAGATCTGCACTCTGTACCAGGAGCTGCCCTCTTCAGCAGCTGGGGTGAGTTCAGGGTGTCCGCATGCCCCCACAGGGCCGCCCTCTTGCCCCCGCCTTCCTCCCTGACTGCTTCTCCTGTCATGTGCCCTGAGCTGGGATGGCTCTCGGTTGGCTTTCCTAACCAGTTCTTTTATATGTAAGAAGCTGCAGATGTTCATGAATTTGTTTTTTACCTACTTACCTTAATGAACTCTCACTGGATCTCTTGGATTTTTTACCTGCAGCTAATGATAATTTACCTCCTCCTTCCCACCGTCCCATGACCTTGTCTGCCTGCTTCACGTGTGCCTGCGGGAGCCGCTGGCTGGGTCGGCAGCTCCCCTTCCTCACTCAGTGGGGATGTCTTCTAGCGTGTGTGCAGCCCAGTGCTCTTGGCTTGGTATAGGAGCAAGCACAGATGGGCCCAGCTCCACGTGCACATGGACGCTCGCACACAAGGTGTCATGCCAGAGACCTACTGGGCCTGTTTTACTGCATTTCTTAAACTCTAGAATGTGCTGCAGTGCCCAAACTTCTTTTTGGCCAAGTTGGAAAGATGCTGAGGTTGTGTTCTCCCAGGGAGCTGCCTGCCAGCCACCATTCTGTCTGGAATGGGCCATTGGACCAGCTGACTGGGGTGTGCCAGAGTTTTTATGTTGTGAGGGATGTGTGTTTGGAACCCCAGTCCCCCATGGGGCCAGACCCTTGATTCCCTTGAGCTCTCTGTCTGCTTTGGTGCTTATTCTCTGTACAGGTGTGTGCATTGTGGATAGCTGACCAGCGTGCAAAGGAAGGAGTGTTGTGAGACTGTACCCAGAAGAGTAATTAGAAAGCATAAAAACAGCCAAGTAAACTAACCCTGTGTGTCCTTATGAATTTCATTTTTTTGTCTGAGAAAATCAGAGTTCTTTTCAATCTTAAATGAGGGCAGCCCCAGTTCAGCTGGTGGACCCAACTCAGGGCTGCCCTGAAGCCAGCTGGCGGGGGTGGGGGCGGGGAGGGGGGGCAGGAGCTAGAGGGAATGTGCTTAGGAGGACGGTCCCCTAGGACAAAGAAGGCCAGCCCAGGGAGGCAGAGGAGGGACAGCCAGAGGGCCCCAGGGCAGGAAGTCCTGCTCTTGGAGAGGTGCCAGTACACATTGCCATGCAGAGAGAGGTGGCCATTGGGGCTGGGAGCTGAACCCTGACCCAGATGGCCTTGGGTTCCACATTGAGCCACAGGGCTACAGAGTGCCAGAACCCCAGGCTCCAGGTGCTTGATCCATCACTGAAGGGCAGAGTGCAATTTGTGTGCTGTCCACACAGTAGAAGTGAACGTTTCATCCCCCAGAGGTTGTCTCTGCACCGAATCAGCCCCTCTCAGCTGGAGCCTCCGTCACTCCCCGACAGGAGGGGTGCTGCAGAAGCCTTGTAGACTATGGCCCCAATCAAGGCCCTGCATTCCCAGGCCTGAGCAGAACTTCCAAGATGGATTTGCACCTCTCCCAGCTGGCTCTGTGGCTGTGTAAAGAGGTGTCGCTGCCAGAATCTCAGTCAGCAGGGTGCTCTGAGGTAGACGGCTGGCAGGCGAGGCCCACTTATCCACTGGGTCCCCTGCTTCAAAAGCAGCTTTTCTGTCATGCACTAGGCTGTGTCTCCTGGCACAGTGCTGGAGGCTGGACTGGGCATCTAGAGGCCAGGTTGGGTTCCTCCCTGAGCCTGAGGCCGCACTCGGCCGGCTGCTCCCTCCCCAGGTTCCCAGTTGTTCCGTCCCTGCTGAATGTTAGAGCTCAGAGCTTCATTCTCTTTCTTATTCAGGACTCCCAAGGGAACCATCATGGCTCCTCTGCAAATGGTCAGCAGTTAGACCTCACATTTCAGAGCGAGGACCTTCCGCCCTTGCTATCCTTTGCCTGACATTTTTTTTTTTAGACTGGGAGTTGAACCCAGGAGCACTTAACCCACTGAGCTACATCCCCAGCCATGTTTTATATTTTATTTAGAGACAGGGTCTCGCCGAATTGCTTAGGGCCTCACTAATTTGCTGAGGCTGGCTTTGAACTTGAAATCCTCCTGCCTCGGCCTCCTGAGCCACTGGGATTACAGGTGCGTGCCACTGCACACATCTTCTCTCTGCCATCTAGTAGAAGCTGCAGCTGGAGGGCAGGGAGCCTTGATTTAGGACAGGCTATGCAGGCAGGGTGGAGGGGTCACAAGGCCTGCTGTCTGATGTCTTCAGTGCCCTGCTGGCCTAGGTTACCCACTGGCAGCTGCTGCTCATGTGGACTGTTGCCACGCCTCCCTGCAGGGAGCTGGTGGTCTCAGGAGGTGGATATTTCCTCCTTTTTATTAGCCTCAGAAGACCCAGCTCACTGTCAGATGACGTCCTTGTCTGTAAATGTGTTTGCAGATATTCATGCAACAGCTGAGGCTGGGTCTTCACAGACTTTTAGGAAAACACTTTGGGCCCAGTGGGGTCAGGAGCTTTAATCTCTGTGCTTGGTAGAGCTTCTGAGTTCTCAGTCCCAGGGACCAGTTCAGATAGCATCCCCCTGGCACCTGGGCAGCCCTGCTATTACCTGACAGGCTGGCTGGCTGCAGTTCCTGCCGTGGGCCTGTGGGCTCCCCACGAGCCCTGCACATCCACGAGGCAGGCTGGGACTGGCCCCTGGGCTCCAGGGCATCCGTGAATGTCGAGCAGCTCAGGGTGTCTGGTGGCGGAGAAGCAAGTGGACTTTCCCTGAGGTGTCTCTTGTGGGTTGGTCACGATCCCGCTTGAGAGCCTTCTTTCCCCGTGGGAGTCTGCCTTCTGTGAGTGTCAGACCCAGGCGGCCTCAGCTGCTGAGCTGCTGTCCTTTCAGGCAGCCGGCCCTGCAGAAGAGGACTGGAGTTGGGGCTCTTGAGACCGCAGGCAGTTGGTGAGTGAGTCCCTTCAGCTGCGCAGGAAGGCCACTCTCTGGCCTCTGTTGCAGAAGCATCATAGCAGGAGTTTCTGCCCCTGGAGGGCTGAGGCAGGGCAGCAGTAGCAGCACCCACTGCTGAGGTGGCACAGGTGTGCAGGCGGAGAGCTGGCCCAGCAGGTGCCCGCTTTGCAACAGGAGTTGGAATTGGCTGAGGAGGAGTTGGTGGGACTGACGGCCTTAGAGTCAACCGTGGGTCCTTCAGGAGGAGGCAGGGCCCCTTGAATGCAGCTCATGGGGACACTGATGGGTACCACCACACAACTGAGAAACGAGGTGCTGTCTTTCCGAGTCTGGCCTGGCAGGGTTTCCCACCTTGCCAGCTCTGGGCATGCTGAGCCTACTGTTGGGCATCAGATGTGGGTGATGTTGGGGGACAGTGTGTCCATACCTGTGTGGCCTGCATCCTTGGTACAGGGCCCACTCTGTGGGGGTTGTGCAGGAGGGTGTACCTTGAGGATGGTAGGTTTAAGAGACACCTGGCATGGGCAGGTGTCCTGAGATCCTCGCTCCTGCTCCATGGTGGTCAGGAGACTGCCCTCCCCAGGAGGCGGGATCAAGGCTTGGGTCTCTGCCTCCATCGCACATATAGCACCCCTGCATTCCCGAGGCTCCTCTCCTGGCTGCAGCTCTCCAAAGTGTTCCCACTCCACCCTCATGCCCCAGCCCTTCCGCCCTGCCGAGGCAGCTCCACAGGCCTGACTCATGACCCAGCTGACAGGACCCATGGGCACCCAGACCACCTGCGTTGACGGGGGAGTCGTGGCTTGTCAGTGTCCCGTCACAGCCCCTCATGTCATCTGGTTTGCGGGAGGCAGGCTGTCTCCCCTGGGTGTCACTGTCAGGACCCGTGCCTACCTGTGCTGCCCTCCCAGCGGGCTGCTTCATACCACTGTCCTCCCTCCTTCCTCCCTCGCTCCATCCCTGGCTTCCACTGCAAGAGGAAGTTTTCACAGCAGTGTGTGGGGACTGCCGTGACGCCTCCTGTCTTGGGGTTTTTCATCCAGGTGGTGCTGTGGGTCGGCCTGGGCGTCCTGGTGGTCAGCACACTCACCACCCTGTCCGTGAGCGAGGAGGCCCCTGTGGACTTGGCAAAGGAAGCTCCTGGTAGCCGACATGGGGAGGTCGAGGGAGCTAAGAAGGCGGAGGTGGCCCGGCTCTCAGGTATGCGTCCAGGTCCCAGCCCCAGCCCACTGAGCCTTCTCGGGATCAGTGGCCACTGCATCGTCTCAGGGTCACGGGCTGCCTCTCAGCTCTGCTCGGAGTGTTTTATGTCTCCAGCAGCAGCCTCCATCCAGTGGGTGATAGACCTGGCAGAGGGCTGCTGTCTGGGACTCACAGACCTGGCCTGTGAAGGCCTCCTTCCACAGAGGCTGGCCGGTGTGCGGGGGCACTGGGTGGTGCAGCGCCAGCCTGGGACAGGCTGAGACCCAGCACCTGGCTCCTGGGTGTGCTGGCAGGTGTGTAAATCCATGGGGGTGCTCGTGTTTGTTCATTTATTTTGAGGATGTAAACTTTGAGCCAGTGTTTCCTCAGTAGAGTGAGCAGTTGTGTCTCAGCTTTGTTTCCTGTTACTTATTGCTTATCAGTCATCGATAGCACTGCATCCCACACTGCCCACCAGCTGCAGGTCCCCGCAGAGTCCTGGTGGTGCTCTCAGCCCCATCTGTGGCCACATCACGTGGGGGTGCAGGGGTGTTTTATTGTGGCACGTGGAGTACCCAGAAGTGTGTCTGGGCCAGTCTCTGAACCCCAGGCTTTCCCAGACACAGGTGGGAGGGGTAACGCAGGGAGGGCCCACAGACTGGCAGACCCCATCCAGCTCCATGCCTGCCCAGCAGCACCAGGTGGCATTGGGGGTGCTAGCAGGTGGGTGTTCCCTGTGCTGGCCTTCATTCTGGGGCTTCCGTCCCTGAGGCCAGGTGCCACACCAAGGTGCATCTGTGGGTGGTCATTCAAGAGACTTGGGTCCACACACCAGGTTTCTGTCCAGCCTGCAGCTCTGAGGAGGCCGTGTTGGGGGAGCAGTGCTCTCTGTGTTGGTGGATTCCAGGTCACCATGAGGATGCCTGTCCTTAGTGGACAGAAGACACAGGTCCGTTGAAGGGACCCCAGCAACCTGGCATGCCCACTGGCCTGCCCAGGCACTTGGAGGTGTAGCCTCAGCACAAGCCCAAGATGGGCCATTCCTGCATTCTGGGATACCGTTCCTGGGCTTCCGTAGCCCTTCCCCAGCATTGTCACCTTGTAAAACTGTCCTGGGAGCTCCCCTGGCCCTCTGCTCTGGACAGCCCTGTGCAAGGAACAGCTTCAGGAACTTTCTTCTGTCTTCCTTGGTTGGCAGAAGCAGGTGAGAAGGTTCTTCCATCCCAGTTCCTTGCAGTCAAGAGGCTGAGAAGCAGACACGGCCTGCCAGGCAGGTGCCGAGGGAGGGCAGGCTGGGCCCAGAGAAGCCAAGCGTCGTGTTAAGCAGCCACAGGTTGCTGTGTACCGCCTTGCCTCAGTGGTGACGACTAGACTGGGAGGAGGTACGCTAGAGGAGGTGGCTGGTGCGTGCCCACCCCCGTGGGTAGCCTGGACTCAGTCCCTGCTGGGAAAGGCCAGTCTGAAGCTATCTGAGCTGTTGGGTATAAAGCAGGTGCTGATGCCGAGGGGATCTAGTGATGGGGGGTCCTGGCGACCAGAGCTGAATTCTGGTCTGCAGGGTCCCTGGGGGAACTTGATGCCATGCCTTTCCCAGTTCAGTGCAGGCCTGCCTGGTGATGAGCTTCTTGGTTGATCAGCGCTGGGCTCCTGTCCCATGGAGCTGTGTTGTCTCTGGTTGGGGACAGTGTCTGCATCTTGTCATTGCATGCCGCATGCTCACTTGAGGCCCTCCACCACCCATTCTGGTCTTCATTTCTTCCCTGAGACTAATGCGTGGCCCCTCAGAGCCTCATGCCCGCAACTCCCCTGTCTTCTAGCTGCCAGTCACCCCTGTACCAAAGGGCTGCCTCCTGGGGCGTAGCTGGGGGCCTGGAAACTTCACCAGCCTGTGCCCATGAGCTGCACATCAGCATGAACTGAGCGTCTGGCCTTCTGATGTTGAGGAGACCACAGATGGAACCTGCCTCCTCTGCTGAGAGCCCTTCCATGGACTCAGTCCTGCCTTCACATGGGACACGTGGGACTGGCAGGTGCAGCCCAGGCCTCACAAAGGCCCTTGGCAAGCATGGCTGTGTCCCTGAAAAGGCTCATGGAGACAATTAAGAAAAGCTGATTAGGCCATTTGCCTGTCTGGAAGCCCTCTGGGTCTGGGGTGCGTAGGGGTCCTGGAGTGTTGCAGCTCTTCCTTGAACCCGGCCATGTGCTCATCTAGCTTCCCTCTCACCTTCCCCGCCCCCCGCTCATGCATACTGGCCATAGTCTTGGCCCACACCCTGGTGCCTGTGCCTGTCCCCTCTCCCCAGCAGTGGGGAGGCTGTGTGGCCTTGTGGGAAGAGGAGGTGGGCCTGCACTTCAGCCTGCTTGCAGCCAGAGCTGCCTACCTGTGGGTGCTGATGCAGAGGCGACCTCGGCTTGAGTGGGCCACACATCTGTGCCTTCAGCTGGTGGGATCTCTCTCACTCCATCATTGTTTGTTCCTGATGGTCTTCCATAACCTCACTGCTGCCCACACCCTGGGGGTGGGAGAGCCTCTGAGCACCTTTGACAGAGCATCAGGACACTGAGGGCGAGACCTGCTGTCACGTGTTCCTCTGCTCTCTCCTTAACCGGGTAGTGCTTCCTTGTCCCCGCTGAGCAGGTTCTAAAAGTCCTTGTTCTGACCCAGCTGGATCAGACTATACCTCTAATCCCAGCTACTTGGGAGTTTGGAGCGGCGGGTCACAAGTTCAAGACCAGCCTGAGCAACTTAGTGAGATCCTATCTCAACCTAAAAAACAAGAAGGACTGGTGATGTAACGCAGTGTCAGCTCCTGACCACACGTGTGTGACCTGGGCCACCTTGCTGCCTCTGAAGATTGACCCTTCCCATTGGTCACCTGGCAGACACCCTGCTTGTAAAGAAGCGTGAGGGTCCAGCATCCCTCTCCTTGCTGGCACCCCAACTTTGCACTGCTGGCCCTGGGCACCAGCCTAGGCCTCTGAGCATCAGGAGTCAGCCCTCTGACCCTGTGGCTCACGTAGCAGCCACATCCAGAGGCGGGTTTTTTCTTATTTATTTTTATTTTTTAGTTTTAGGTGGACACAACATCTTTATTTTATTTTAATGTGGTGTTGAGGATCGAACCCAGCACCCTGCGCACGCCAGGCGAGCGCGCTACCGCTTGAGCCACATCCCTAGCCCAGAGTTTTTTTAATATTCATTTTTTTAGTTGTAGTTGGACACAATACTTTCATTTTTATTTATTTATTTTTACGTGGTGCTGAGGATCGAACCCAGGGCCTCGCACATGTTAGGCGAGCGCTCTACCGCTGAGCCCCAGCCCCAGAAGGCGGGGTTTTAAACAGCCCTTCCTGGGTAGCAGGTTAGCACAGCCACAGCGAGGAGGGCAGCAGCTCTGACCAGAGCTGGTGGAGCCTGTCCCCGCTCCATGCAGAGGCCTTGGGTCCCGAGTCTCCAATGTGGCTCTGGTGGGAGCTCGTCCTTGGGCTGCAGGGACAGCCGCAGCATTACAGAGGGGATAGTTTCCATCTGTACTGACCACAGGACACAGTGGTGGTGCCCAGAGGCAGAACGCGCCAGCCCTGTGACGCTCCTCCCAGAGCCCCAGTCAGTGACCAAGCTGACTGTCTGCTCAGCCTGAGGACAAACAGGTTTGTCTCCTGCTAGAAAGCCGCTGCTCAGGGGCACCTGTTCTGGGGAGAGTGGGCTTCTCTTTGTTTCACTGTCCCTCCTCCCAGCCCTTTGTCAACTCTGCACTCTGCTGGAAGCCCCTTTTTTGGATTTTTCTTGTAGATGAACAGCATGCCTTTGTTTTTTTTAATGTGGTGCTGAGGATTGAACACAGTACCTTCCACGTGCAAGGCAAGCGCTTGGCACTGCTACAGCCCCAGCCCTGGAAGCTCCCCTTGACCTGACCTGTGGTTCTTCCTGTTCATGCACAGGGCTTCTGCCAGGGGGCTAATTGTGTGCTGGGGACTGGTGCCTTGTCACCTGCCTGAGTTTGTCACCCGGTGGCGCTGTAGAGCTTTCTGTGAGGCATTCCAGCACAGGAGGTGCCAGCCTCCAGTTCGTTAAGGACTCTTGAGCCCCAAATGGACGGTACCTTTACACCTGGCTCATGTGTGTCCAGTTCTGCTTCCCTTGACTAAGTGTCAGTCGGCTGCCACGTGAGGCTGATGTGGAGCTGAGGCGGCTCCTCATTTTCCCCTCCGATGGGCCCATGGACGAATCCTCTCCGCACGGCATCTCATGGGTCCCAGGTCCACAGCACAGCACCCAGGGCCCATGGCGCACATTTACTTCCCTTTCCTGACAATTCTGGTCGGGGATGGGGCACAGAGGTGGCCCTGGGCCTCTGGGAGGAAGGGGTTCTGATTTCCAGAGTTGTTTTCCCCTAATTGGTTCTTTGGATTCTGCCATGCTCGCCTAAAACATAGAAAGTGGCCATTTTAGCTGGACGTGGTTCCTCCTGGGCCCTGTTGGACCCCTCTCGGTGGCCTGCTGGCCCCTGCACTGTGGCTTGCAGTGGGATGCACTAGGACAATAAAGAGCTCTCCTTGTGCTGTTGTCCTTTTGAAGTGAGTTTCCCCCACCAGCAGGAAGATGTTCACAGGATTGCAGGTTAGCACTCCTAATGTTTCCCTTAGAGGAAGGGTAGGGGAGTTTGGGCAGGTCATCCTGCAAAGGGGACCCTCTGTAGACAGCCCATCCATGGGTTCATGCTGCCACCTGGTGGTCATGGCCGAGCATTACATGGAGTGGTCTGTGCCATTAGGTGTAAATTGCATTTTGACATATTTTTGTTATGAATACACATGAAAAATGACAGTTTTCTTTGCTGTTTAGCTGTTAATGATTGAGCTGGGAAAAATGGCTGCTGAGGCTCTGGCACTCGACTGGGAAATGTGGTCATGATCCCAGAGAGCCACCTGCTCCCTGTGCTGATTGACAGGCAGCTGGGTGGAGGGTGGTTCAGCTTGCTGTGCTGTGTTTACAGTCCAGGATCCCCCGGTGAACATGGCCGAGGATGGCCGGGAGAAGCCAAAGCTGCCCGAGGAGAAGGAGGACCTGGAGCAGGCCCAGATTAAAGGCCCCGTGAATGTGCCTGGAGAGGAAGATGCCAAGGAGAAGCAAGAGGCCGCACAACTTGATCGCCCTGGTCAAGGTGGGTGGCACTGGGAACAGAGAGGGACCCCAGTCCTCGTGGAGGGACACTGAAGACTGCGCATCTTCCCTGGGCCCAGCCTTAGGTCCTGCGTCCAGCACTCTCGGTCTCTCCATTCTCTGCTTGCCACTGCTTCCCTCGTGGCTTTCCAGAGTGGGGTCAGACCTTGGCTGATGCGGTGGGCTAGCAGGGGGGCGGTGCTGTTGGGTGCTTCACCCTGATGAGAACTGGAGCCAGTTCAGGTTCCCTGGGAAGTTGAAAGTGGGTACCGCTTGCTCAGCCTGACCCCCCAACCTCCCTGTCCTTTCAGGCATTGCTGTCCCCATGGGTGAGGCCCACCGCCATGAGCCTCCTGTGCCTCATGACAAGGTGGTGGTGGATGAAGGTCAAGACCGAGAAGGGCCAGGAGAGAGCAAGTTGCCTTCCAGACGCACGGATGGAGGGGCTCCTGAGGGCAAGGGGCAGATGGCGCTGCCTCTCCCTGAATCAGAGAGAGAAAGGAGGGAGCCTGAGAGGGGAGAGGCAGGGAGAAGACCTGAACAGGCCCAGGTCCTGGAGGAAGCAGGTGGTCTTCCCGAAAGTCTCCAGAAGCTTCCAGAAGGAAACGACCAACCAGATGTCCAGCCTGGGAAGGACGAGTATGGGCCAGGCAACAGAGATCTGCACCCAGGGCCCCAGGCTGTGATCTCTGCAGATCAGAAGGTCCTGGCCGCAGTTGGAGGGGAGCCTGCACAAGGTGCTGTGGGGCACACGGAGAAGCCTGCAGAGAGTGGCCCTGGTGGGTGTCAGCCAGCTTACCTTGGGGAGCTCCCGCGGGGTGGGCTTGGGAATGGGCAGGAGGGACTGATTACTCTCTCCCATTTCACAAGATCAGCGTGTGAATGTAGCAGCCCCTTCAGCAGCTGGTGGGGAAGGAAGAATCTGGTGGCTTGACAGCTACTATAGTGTCTGTCACACAGTTGTTTGCAGACCACTAAATGTCAGGTGCCACGCTGTTCTGGTGTGTCTGGGTGCACACTGGGGACGGCTCGGGAGCGCTTGACAGGTAACACATTGTTAAGTGCCCGTCTAAGAGCTAGTTAGGACGCGGCTTGCATTTTAATTGGCAAAGGTAGTTAACATTGGCTCACTGCCACAAGCCTATGAGATTGTTAAATATTTTTTTATTACTTCCCTGGTAATCATCAGGTTGAATATAAACTGCTGACAGGCTGGGGGGGCTACGTCGGGGAATCGTTTTAGGAAACATCTGCTGCCTCCTTTGTCCCCCACCCCCAGCATTTTGCAAAACCTGAGCCTCCTGTATGTGCAGGTGGGAAGGCGCCCCTCCCAGCGCAGAGGCCAGCTCCTGGGGCTGGCCTGCAGCCAGAGCCTCGTGAGCAGAGGGATGCAGAACGCCCAGGCGGAGACCAAGCGGGCAGCAAGCTGGAGGGTAAGGCCTGAGCATCAGTCCCCCCAGTTCCCCAGGGTAAGGTTGGGGAGAGGCTGGGGTGGTCCCCGGAGCCCATCAGGTCCCAGCTTCTGCTCACCTCCATTTCTCTAAGGAAGTACCCTCTGCAGCCCTCTTCTGTCTCCCCCTTGGGGCTTTCTCCTGGCCCTTCTATGAAGAAGTGCTTTTTTATCTCCCTTCTCCCCTTCAAAAAGAACCTGCCGTGGTGCCTTGTGGCTCGAAATTGCCCTTTTATTTTACCTTAAAGCAGGCAGGTCGCTGCTTCCAGCACTCAGGGTTGGAGCCATCCAGGGTGGGTGTTAGCATACCCAGGTGTGAAGACTCGCTTTAAGGCCTGGGGCCACCTTGTGGGGTTGTGACCCTGTGGTCCTCGCAGGGTCCCTTCCTGCCCATCTCGTGCTGTAAAGGACTGTCCCCTGCCCCCTAAAGCTTGGCCATGCCTTTCCTGGCTTTGAACCCTACCTACCTCATCCTAAGTGCTCCCTGGCAGAGGAGGAGGTGGTGGCCCCCTAGTGGCCTGCTAGTGATGGCCCCTCTTGCTGACTTTGGTGACGGACAGGCTTCTGTGCCATGTTGCCTCCTAGGCCGGCCAACTCACGTCACCATTCCCTCAGGACACAGCTGGGAGGTTGGCCCCACTGTCCTTGGGGACGGCAGGCAGCAGGTTGCTCAGGTCTCCTGGGCCAGCCTGGCACCAGCCTCAGCTGCTCTGGACATGGTGCTGCCTCGTGCTCCAGGGCCACCCTCAGGGTGGGGGAGAGAGCGGTTTTGCGCTCTGCTGGGTGCCAGCAGGCACTGTGGCAGAAGTCCTGGAAGGCAGCGCTGGGCGCATGGTGGGTTTCTGCAGGTGTGGAGTTGCTCAGAAGGCTTTCCTTTGCTGTGGCTCTTGCCTCTCTGTTGGTCTGGCTGTGCTCGTTGGTTCCAGTTCCTATGCTCTGTCATGTAAACCTATTTGATGCTTTGGTTTTTTTCTTTCTGAAAAGAGACTTTTCACAGTTTCCTATTCTGCCTTTCTTCCGTATGCCTCTCAACGGGACGAACAGCTGAAATTAAAAAGATAGTAGCAGGTAGGACCTGAAGGAGTGTGTTGGGATGCAGTGCGCTCGCGGAGGGCCTCGTGCGGGTGGCGTCGGCTGGGGAGCCCACCCAGCTGGGCCCAACACCCAGCGTTCTCAGAGACTCTCCTGCTGTGGCTGTGCTGTCCTCAGAGGACCACTGAAAGGCTTCTGTGAGAGGACGGCCCGCCCATTAGAGATGGGTGTGTCACACATTCCACACGGGGCTCCACATGTGGGCAGCCACAGCCCTCTGCCTGGTCCATTGGTTTTGGTGGGCTCTGGCTAGGTGGTCCTACCCCTCCAGTGTCTGACTTGTGTCCCGTGGGACTTCCTGCAGCATCAAGGCCCTCTTTCCTCCTTGCCCTGTCCCTCTCAGCAGAGTCCAGGGCTGGTCCTCCAGGCACGGGGCCGGGGGGGGGGGGGGGGGGGGCTGCACTCTTGGAACCCCACCCCAGCAGCAGGAGGGTGTCAGCAGACGTGGGACCTCATGTGACCATCATGACTTGAGACAGCCAGGGTGACGTGAGACCTATGGCTGAGGTGGCTGGTCTGTAACCCATGGGGACAGCTCCCTGAAGGGAGGTATGTGGGCGCCACTCTGTATTACATGGCCTTTCCCTCTGGGCAAGTGTCTGGGACTGGGCAGGGAGTAGGGGCTGCCTCTCGTCCTCAGCCTCGGCATCCTTGCCACTGGCCCACAGGAGATCAGGGCGAAGTTTAGGGCTGTGTCCGGGGAACCCTCAGTGCCCCTGGCAGGATGCTGCCCTGAACTGCTGCAGCCGGTCACCATGTCACTCTTGGGGAGGATGGCCTGCCGCCAGTCTGTGAGGCACACAGGGCCCTTGCTGGGCATTCTTCCGTCTAATGTGAGCCATTCCCCTGGCAGCCCTAACCCGTCATCTTTCAGAGATTCTCAGTTTTAGTACTTGTGAAAATTTCACAAGCCACAGGTGCCTGCTGCCCACAACTGACCCTGTGCTGAAGGGTTTGCAGAAAAAAGCCAGCTCCCTGCTGACCCCATGGGTGGTGGTTGCTGGTGATGCCTGGCTCTGCATACGAACAGGGCGCAGGTGCAAGTGGACATTTGGAGCCTCCCTCCCCTCCCGTCTGTGCTATCCCATGGCTGGCCACTTCCCTCCGTGGGTATGTGCTCCCCTACATGCCAGGGCTGCTGGGTGTCCAGGACAGCTGTGTGCTGGCCACTGGCCTATGCCTCACTGGGTCTGGCCCCCATGCTCTTCTTAAAGGAGAACTGTGTTTATTCTCACCTTGGAGGAAACTTTCTTAAAGTACCAATATTCTTTTTTTTTTTTTTTTTTAATATTTATTTTTTTAGTTTTCGGTAGACACAACATCTTTATTTTTTATTTGTATGTGGTGCTGAGGAGCGAACCCAGCGCCCCACGCATGGCAGGCAAGCGTACTACCGCTTGAGCCACATCCCCAGCCCCACCAATATCCTTTTAAAAAAACTAGCTTGTCACTTTTATTTTCTTAGGTGACTGGCTTAGAACAACAGTGTGAACAATGGGGAAACCACCCACCCCAGATAACTGCTGATCTTCTGGCACATTCCCAGACTTATTTGGTTTTTCTCTGGGCACATTTTTTTCAGCAAGTACCGGGCAGGGAGCTGGGCTCTGCAGTTGTCTGAACCACAGCAGTGGGGGGCTAACTGGTTGGATGGCCCTGGCCACCAGGGTGTGGCTGCGGGCGGGAGCTGGCACCCAGCTAGTGGTGGGCGGGTTTCTAGGCCTCCTTGGAACTCTCACTGGCGGAACCCTCACTGCACTCATGCGGCTGAGGTGAAGGCGGCGTGGCCCTCCGCTGCAGCCCTGGGCCTTGAGGTGCGTCATGCTGGCAGCCCAGCGTCCTGAGTGTGTGCTGTGTGTGTCCCCACCAGAAGCCGGCAGGGCAGAGATGCTGGACCACGCTGTCCTGCTGCAGGTGATCAAAGAGCAGCAGGTGCAGCAGAAGCGCCTGCTGGACCAGCAGGAGAAGCTGCTGGCCGTGATCGAGGAGCAGCACAAGGAGATCCACCAGCAGAGGCAGGAGGATGAGGACAAGTCCAGGCCTGGTAGGCTGGCCCTGGCAGGGGGAGGGCATTAGGCATCTGGGGCTGGACCTGAGGCTTGCTGGCCTGACGTCTAGAGGGCGAGTTTAATTTTGATTTGTAATTCTTAACTTCTCGAAGTCTGTTCTTTTTAGTCCTTGCATTAGCAGCTTGTATTCGTTTCTATGGCCCAAACTAACATCAGCTTTACTTGCAGAAGACATGCAGCCAGAGCCTGGAGTGGGTGTGCCCAAAGGTCAGGATAAGGAGGCCCGAGATGGGCCTGCTGGGAAGATGGAAAATGCCCCTCCACAGCCGTTGAAACCTGCACTTGGAGCTCCAGGGGATCGCCGAGCTCCACCCCGGGAACTGGGCCAGCACTCCCCAGAGAAACCCGAGGGGGCAGCGGGCAGAGACCTAGCTGGTCCTCCTGGTGGAGGATCTGACATAGAGCCGCAGGGAGCCCAGGCCAAGCCGAGAGAGGAACAGAAAGGTGCCGTGCCCGAGGTGGCCCAGGCTGTGAAAGAGCCTAAGGTGGCCCAAGACTTGGAACCAGCACTCAAGCCACACCCTGCCGGGGCCCCTGGGAGCCCAGAAGAGCATCTTGCTGGGGAGGTCTTCAGGCAAAGCCAGGACACCTTTGGCGGAGGTTCCCAAGAAAGGAAAAAAACTGGACAGGAAGCAGCAGCCACTGGGGCCAACACACAGAAGGAGGCTGACCGGCCCATGGTAGGGGCAGTTGTAGAGGCTGGGGACCCTCATATGAAGTCCAGGCAGTTGAGCCGAGACCTGGGACCTGCCGTGGACCCACCTGGCAGGCCAGCAGGAGTGGACCCTCAGCCCCAAGCCATGCTAGGTCAGAAGGAACCCCAGCCCATCTCTGAGGGGGGCCAAGGTGGTCACGTGGAGGCAAAAAAGGAGCCCCCTGGTGGGGACCATGTACCTGCTTCTCAAGAGCAGCCAAGAGCCGGGGAAGATACTGCCAACCAGGAGCCCAAGCAGAGGCCAGACCCTGCGCCTAGCCCCAGGATAGTTGCTCCTGGGGCTGAGAGGCCAGACAACCCCAAACCCAACCGAGACCTGAAGCTGCAAGCTGGCTCTGACCTTCGGAGGAGGCGACGGGATCTTGCCCCTCATCCAGAGGGGGAGCCAGCCCCAAAGGATGGGATCATCATCAGCTTTAACCCCCTCCCTGATGTCCAGGTGAACGATCTTCGCAGTGCCCTGGATACCCAGCTCCGCCAGGCAGCAGGGGGCGCACTGCAGGTGGTTCACAGCCGGCAAATTAAACAGTTGTCTGGGGCTCTGGAGGAGGCCAGCTAGTGTCTAGCCGCGTCCCTGGTGAGTGTGAGGTCACACTTGTTTCTTCCCAGGTATTTGTCTGAGCCCCTTAGCAAGCGCTGGGAAAGCCTGAAGGACCGCCTTGTCTGCGGCTTTGTCCCCTCCCTGGCATTCTCCCTGCTTTCTCAGGACCTCTAGGACTCTGCAGCTGTGGGCTCTGGCTGTCCTCAAGAGGAAGAGGGTCTCACCTGTGGCCTGCTGAGGCTCTGTGACTGGCACTGCTGTGCCTAGTCAAGCAGTGCTGGTCCCACTCTCGGTCTCCATGACACCTGCATTCTACCATGGTCTCTGTTCCTCCAGGGGCTCCTCCCTAAGCATGCTGAGGCCTCCCCACTGGCAGGCAAAGCCCTTGGTGTGAGAGACATGCGGGGTGAGCCTTGGCCAGCTGTAGGGTGTAGCTGCTCTGAGCTTCCTGTCAATCATCCACACACTTCATGGCCTGTTCTTTGAAATTAGTTGAGATTTTTTTAAAAATAAAAACACCACTGATGACTGAAGAGTCAAGTTGGCATTGAGTCACCTGAAGGAAAACCCAGTCAGGATTTGATTGGACTGGGGGTCCTGGGGGGAGGTACCCCACCACCAAACATCACAGGACCCGCATGCTCACAGTGCAAGTGCAGCCCCACGTGCATGCCCACAACCTTGCCAGCTGTGGAGTGGCACTGCCGCACCAGGTGCTATGCCTGCAGTGGGCTCGCAGCCCGGGGTGGGGCTGCCTCAGCCACCCTTCCTTTTCCACTCTTACCTGCTGGGGAATTAGGCGGGGAGCTGTGGGTTTAGTTCTGTGCCTTTAACACCCCTGGCCTGGGGGGGAGGCACTTGAGGAATGCAGGGACAAGGAGCCTGGCTTGTCTTTGGGTCACGGAAGCCTGGGGAGTAGGGCTGTGTGGTGCCGCCCTGCACCTGCTGAAGTCCTTAGATTTTACTGTGATCTTTTAACTTACGTCATTGGGCAGCCTGATGGCTAGAAAATGAATAGGAGTGGAGTTTCTGCAGGCCAGGCTGGGACTCCTGCTGAACGCTGCTCAAGAGGGGTATGAATCCCAGGTCACCTTCCACCTTTCGTTCCTCACAACTCCAGATCAGCTGTGGCGTGGTGAAGCAGCCTCTGGGTGACCCTGGGATCAAGCTCCACGGGTTAGGATTCTGGGGTGCGAGTTTTCTCTTGCCTTGACTTTCCTGAACATCTTAACTTCACCCAGTTTGCTTTTCCTTGCTGGACTCTCCCCACCTCCCAACGCCCTCCTTAGAGTCAGGGCCACCTACCCCAATAGATGGATGTCATGACTGGGCACGTCACAGCTGCCACTGCCCTCACCTGCCCCCTCAACACTTTCCTCCTGGCTGTCCATCTGCCCCTTCCAATCAGCAGCCCTCCACAGGTAAGGACAGGAACTTCTTCCCCAAGAAATTGCAGACCTCTGAACAGGGCTCTGACTCCTTGGCACCAACCCTGTCTGGGTCACATGACTACTGGGAGCAGCCAGTAGTTCTGGCCAGAACTCAGACTGGGTCATCAGTGAGCCACCCACCAAGTCAATTGCTGCCCTTGCCAGACAAGGGCCAGGTCCACCCCAGTGCAGACCACAGGGCAGTGGTGCCTACCTGAGGCTCCCTCCTAGAGCAGCGACAGTGCTGCCTAGTCAGTGCACAGCACCCTGAGCCAGGGCGGGAACCCAGAAGCATTGGCTTTGCAGAACTCCAGCTCTCCCTTGGGAACCAAGACTTCTGCCTGGGCATAACGTGAGCCTGCCACGAGAGCACCGAGGTGGTCCTCGAAGAGGGGCTTGGGTTACGAGTCACCCCCATGGCAGGAACACAGCTCTTGGGAGCTCAGGTGGTGCCTAGGTGTGCATGCTCCTACCTTGCCACCTGCCAGGAGGTGCAGCAAGAGGGCCCTCATAAGACACCATTGACACTGGACTTCCAGCCCCCAGAATGAGAAAGGGTTTTTATAAACCGCTCAGTCTCTGGTATTCTTTTATGGCAGCCACACAGAGCACACCTGAAACAGTACAAGCCTAGACAGGTCATGTGTGCAGCAGCAGACACCATTCCATCTGAGAAAGGAACACTTGAGAAGTTAGTGTTTCTGAGATGTGTGTTGCCCCGTCCCAACACCCCAGCAGCAGCGGAGAGTCATGCCAGCACAATGTCCCTCTCTCTGGACAAGACCCAGCCTCTCCAGAGCCTTGGCACAGTGGCCACTACACCCTCTTGGAAGGCACATCTTGAAGTGGGAGTTTCAGCACTTACAGCTTTGAAATAGGGTTTAGATGCAAGGCAGAGGCACAGACTTGAGTTCACAGGAGGCAGTGCCAAAGGGCCCCACCCTAGCTCTGCTCTGCCACAGGGCCCTGAGGGGGGTGCAAGCTGTGACAAGGATGGCGTGCCCTCTCTGCCCAGCAAGTGAACAGGATGGTCCCCCACAGTGCCCAGCAGGTGGTGCTCAGGCCTGTAGCTTCCCTGTGGCCTCAGGACCTTTTAGAAAGGTCCCCATGAGATGGGATGGGGAACTCAAGAAGGGTTGGAAAAGGCTTGTGCTCAAGAGCACCTTGGGCTCAGGTACTCGGCAGCTGCAGTCAGAGCAGCCTCCTTCCTAAGTCCAATCATCTGCAGAGTGGGTCCCCTTGTGCCACTGGACTATTATCTCTGGTGTGTCCTGGGCACTGGCTATCAGGTTCAGGGGCTTCCTCACTACTCAGGTTAAATGCATCTGGGGAGAAGGTTCTTAAGTGGGGACCTGGTGGCAGTGTTCCATGGCCCAGACCTGCCAGCTTCTTGGGGGAGGCCAGGCCCACAGGCCACTCACTCTGTACAATAAAGCTGAAGCTGCAGGATTTAATAGTTTTTGTTGCTGGCTTGACTACATCTTAACCTAACCCAGATCTTTACATATAATAAGTCCCTGCCCACCCAAGGTTCAACCTGTTGAGAAGAAACACGCTCCAACACCCAAGAACTTCGTTGCTCCCACCCCTTCTAGCCCCAAGAGTGTTCGCTGTGTGCCATCCAGTGGTGGTGGACGGAGGTCAGAGTGTAGGGTCCTTCCTAGGAACTTCCCTTCAAGGTTCTCTTGGCCTGAAAGATAAAAGCGTTTTGTCAGAGTGGCTTTTTTACAAACTAGATATGGCTCAAAATTAACAAACCCACCACAATAAATGCCATATTTTACCAAATACCTTATGGGTCCTGGGGGAGCTGGCTGGAGCTCACCCCAGGGCTGGGTGTCCAGTTCAGCTGTTCACAGTGACCCTGATGGCCAGCACAGACCTCACTTGCCTACCCCTGAGCACCACCTGCACCAGACCCCACCAGGCCCACACACATCTGGTCCCATACACACACACTCGGGCAATAGCAGTGGGAGACTATTCTCACTAGGTTCAGACAGGGTGAAGTCACTTGTCCAGGTCACAGGGCTCCAAGGATGCAGCAGGAATTTGAGCCCAATGACCTTTCCACCTCCTCATGTAGAACCCTGTAAAAGTGCCTTGGATCATGGGGAGGAGAGGCCCGAACCAGCTTATCGGCAGGTTTCCTCACTGTGAGAAACACCTGGGGGCCCCAGCCCAAGTGAGTGAGGGCACATGCAAGGACTGCTGTGGGGAGGCCTTTACCTGACCTTGGCAAAAGAGTGTGTGGGGGGGGTCACAGATGGCCAGACAACCTAAGGGTTAGCTCTTGACCAGCCACAGAGACCTACAAACAGCAGGAGCACGCCACTCTTCATCTAACAAAGAGCTGCCACAAGCTGCCTTTCCCCTCTGAAGGGCAGTGAGGCCGGGAAGCTGCCGAAAGGAACAAAGGGCAACTGCTGGTGAGTGACTGGCCTCTGGATGGGCAGCTAGTCAAGGGGCCACATGGTGGGGCTAAGCCATAAGAACTAAAAGAAGAGAGAGTTCCCTAAGCCTTCCAAAAAGGAGAACACGAACCAGATTCCTCGTCCACTGCCATTCTGCCTAGGGCAGTCCTGAAACATCAAGAAGTTGCTTGAGATTCACTGAATCCTGTGAGTCTTAGCCAGCTATGGTTTTTTTTGGCCCAATTCCCTGCATTAATAGCTTCCAGTAAACAAGTAATCACTGGCATCATGACTCACCTCAGACCCCAGACTGAATTAGGGGTACCTAAGGTATATGCAACCCCAGAATAATGATGGCACAAGACCCTTGTGGTTAAAGCCCTATTGGGCCCGGTGCAGTAGTACCTGTAATCCCAGTTGCTAAGGAGGCTGAGGCAGGAGGATTGTGAGTCTAAAGCCAGCCTCAGCAACTTAGCAAGGTCCTGTCTCTAAAATAAAAAATGCAAAAAAGGGATGGGGGCGTGGCGCAGGGATTAAGTGCCCTGGGTTCAATCCCCAGTACAAAAAATTAAAAATAAATAAACAACAAAAGCCCCATTGGCAGGTGACAGCTTCCCAGTCCTGTTCTGGAACATTCACCATGGCCCAGTCCTCCAGCCTCCACGAACCCCACTTTCACCAGGGCCTGGGTCTTTCCCCTTAAAGTATGTGGCTATTTGTACAGGACTTTTATTGCATAAAGACCCATGGCACGGACCAGAAGATGCTGAAGCCCAGAAACAGGAAGGACGCAGGTGCAGGGGTCAGAGACAGACGAAATCTCGGACCAAGAACCGACCAGGACTCCTTGTGGAATGGTCAGCGATGAAGGGGGCGCGGGGCAGCGGCCACTAGCGCGTGCTGCAAACAGGACGCGGAGCGCGGCGCTGGGGTCCCTTCGGGCAGGACGGCCCTGGGTGACATGCCAACGTGAGTTGGCGCGAGCGCCTTCCACCGGTCACCGCCGGTCCTCCCCGCGGCCTGAAGGAGAGAGCCCGACCCTGGGGCGGGTTGGGGCTGGGGTCGCGCCCACCTACCGCGGCGGCGAAGCAGCTCCGCAGGGCCTCGAACTCCCGCGCGCAGACGTCCTTGCTCAGGCGGCCGCCGGGGGCCGTGGAGGCCTGCACGCACCTGCCGTACGCCGCAGCCTGCAAGGGGAGGGCGCCGTCGGGGGCCTGACCGCGGCCATCGCCCCCCCCGCCACCGCCCGCGCGGCCCTTCTGGCCCCACAGGCACGGCCCCGCCCTCGGCTCCTTACCTCGGCCCCGCAGGCCGCCAAGCGCTCCGGGAAGGCGCGGAGGCGGCTCCGCACGCGCCCCCACACCGCTCCGTTTGCCGACATGAGCGGGTCTTCTGGGCACCTGAGGGCGCCGCCATCTTAAGCCCGCCCTCTTCCGGCGTCCAGCTGTAAATCGGTCGGCGCTTCCGGGCTTAGCTTGCCCACTCTTCCAGGTTGGAGGCCTAGAGCCCCTGCAGTTGGCTCTGGTCCTTGTCTGTCTGTGGTCTGGGACTGCGGGTTGGTTCAAACTCAAATTGCTCACGAAGCCGACCTTAGGGCCCGCCTCCCGCGAGCGATTGGCTAGCGGGGCCAGAGCCGCGCGGTGATTGGAGGACCCGGGCCTGGCGGAAGCGGGGCAGGCCGGGAGGTGACTTGGACCATGGCTGCCGCGCCGCCGCTGCGGGACCGTCTGAGCTTCCTGCACCGGGTGAGTGAGGCCGGCTCGCCCCGCCGACTCCGGGCGCCTGGGGACCTTCCTGGGACGACGGGAAAGGACTGTTGAGCAGCAGGAGAGAAGGGCCGAGCTCTCCCTGATCGCGGAGGATGAGGGGGCGGCGGGCGGGCGACCTCCCGCACCCGGAGGCCGCGGCGCTCCGGACGGCACCTTGCCTAGGGAGCCTCAGGTCCTGGAGATGTCGCGTGCGGGAGATGCAGACATCTCCAGGCGACGGAGGGGAAGCTAGAGGCTTGGGTAGTGGGTGTTCAGGAGCCTGTGACCAGCCATTGTCCGGAACGCTGCGTCGTCCTTTGACAGCCCAGAGCCCTAGAGCACCGGGTAGTCCGGGGACGCGCGCCTTGGGCTGCCAGAAGGGTCCGGTCTCCCGCGCAGAGCCTCGGACGGGACGCTTCTGTGCGAGCTCTCCTGTGTTCTCCTGTCGTCCTGCAGACCCCTCCCTCCAGGTCCCCTTCAGGGCGTGGTGGGCAAATAGCATGGTGTGGCCGTGTGTGTGTGTGTGTGTGTGTGTGTGTGTGTACACAAGCGCTTGCGCTCACGGCCTGTTGTAACACACGTTGCACGATTTTAAGTATAGTCCTGACACATGGCTGCCATTCAGGTCACTGGCACCAGACATGATTCCAGTGCTTATTATTTAAAATAACCCCCAACATATAAGTAAGTAAATAAATAAATTAATTAATTAAATGGCCCCCAACTTTTCCATTCTGGGCAGATACTGGATAACATGACAACATGTTAGTTTTCAACAGCATACTGGTATGATTACTGGTATGTCTGTTGATGTGTGAGCATAAAATCTAAAACTTCAGTTAGTTGTTCTCAGGAATCTGGAGAGTGAATGGTTCTGATTCTTTGAACCTATGCTCAGGAGAACTAGCAGCATTCACATTCTCTACGTAGAATGTTCTGGGCATTTTGCTCTTACTAGTCAATAAGCAGGAGTATTATTTAAAACCACCTCACATGTCAGTAAGAAGGTTGGGAGCTGGGCCTCGTCTTGACCCAAGAAGAGAACCATCATTCCTTTCTCTCCTCCCTGTGGCCTGGGGTTGGTTCTGGTCCCTCTTAGCTAGGTGAGGCCTATTTCTAACACCTCTGGTGACTGTGGGCCTACATGTGTAAGATGGCAATGTGTCACAGCTCTTGTTCCCTTTCAGCTCCCAATTCTCCTGAAGGGCACCTCGGATGATGATGTCCCGTGTCCAGGCTACCTGTTTGAAGAGATTGCTAGTATCCTTCCTCCATGTTCCTGGTGAGGGGGAGAGTGGATGGCAGGGGCCCTTTGTGGCTTTGAGGTTACTAGGGTTTCTGCTCTCCTGTGGGCATCCACAGCTCCTTCATCATAGGATCCAGGGATGGCAGGTCCAAGAACTGCTATACAGGAGACCCTGGAAGCCCAGCACTCCTGAAACCAGGGCCTACAGTCAGTGCCGCTAGGAAGCACGCCCTGAGAAGGCCATTGGCAACAGGAGGTTGGGTTTCTCTCCTCAGCCAATGCATCCTGATGCAATGTGTGTTACAACAGGCCGTGAGCGCGAGCGCTTGTACACACACACACAAACACACAGGTTCCTTCCCTAACCTGACCGCATTCCAGAAATCTCCCATGAGTCCCTGGGCAGCAGCCAGTGCCTACTGGAATACCTCCTGAACCGCCTGGACAGCAGCTCTGGCCACGTCAAGCTCAAGGTGAGTCCTTGTGTGGCAGCAGTCAGGCCCCAGTTCCCACTGTGGGTGTCAAGGCTGGAGGGGAAGACATGTAGCCAGGGTGTCGGGTAGCTGGGCTCTGCCCTGAGCATCCCATGCCAGAACTCTCAGCACTCTGTACCTGTGGACCCCAGGTGCTGAAGATCTTGCTCTACCTGTGCAGCCACGGTTCCTCCTCCTTCCTGCTGATCCTCAAACGCAACTCTGCCCTCATCCAGGAAGCCACAGGTACGTGGAGCCAGCACAGACTTGCTGGGGAAAGCCAGGGTGGGATGGCAGGGAGAAGGATTGTCAATTGATTGACTATTAAGGGGTGAAAAGGGGAATTTGTTTGCATTGGAGGTATTGGAGGTACGGGCTAAGGGTTCTCCACGGGCAGCTGTAAGCCCTCATGGGATGAGGTTGAGTAGATGAGGGGTGCTCTCATGCTCTGAGGCAGGAGAGCTTGGGGGTGACTGAGTCTGGTTTTCTAGGACCTCTGCTTTTTAGCAGAGGGAGCCTGGCACAGCCCAAAGCTGGGCGTGAGTGGGGCTGAACCAAGCAGGGCCTTTCAGGCCGTGATACAGACCTGGGTTGCACATCCAGTCCCTGCAAGGCCTCTTGTGTTGCGTCTGGCTGGAGGAGACTAGGCCTAAGGCAGCAGTGAGGGGTGAAGCAGGGACTTGGCAGGAGGGGAGGCATGGGTACCTGGGGAGACAGCAGCCACCACGGTGGTAGATAAGGGGCCACCGCTGTCGGGTAGGTGAGGAGGGTGCTGGGGATCTGCTTGGGTGTGGCCTGCGTAGGTCCTGAGGAGGGACTCCTTGCTGGCCATGCCGGTAGGGATGGGGCATCCGTAGCCCACAGCTTGGGAGGAATGGGCCTTAAGAGCCATACTCTACAGGTGGTCAGCAGTGCCCAGGCTCAGCCACCCCTTGTTGGCTTTCTCTGCCTTCTAGTTTTTGCAGGGCCCCCGGATCCTCTCCACGGGAACAGTTTGTACCAGAAGGTGCGGGCAGCTGCCCAGGTGAGCCCAGGATCAGGGTCACTCTGAACTTGTACCAGAGTACCCACAGGGTGTTTGCCGCTCTCCTGCCACATGGGACCCCAGGCTCTGCTCCTTGCTGCCAGCCTCCAGCCCCTGTGTCTAGCTGGGCAGCTCAGGGGAAGCATCTGAGATGGAGCAGAGCTGACAGGAATGGGGCCAGAGCAGCAGGCCCATGTGGACGCTGAGCGCCCTGCCTCCTCCTCCAGGACCTGGGCAGCACCTTGTTCTCTGACGCCACGTTGCCGCTGCCTCCCTCCCAGCCTCCCCGGGGCCTGGCTCCAGCAGGTACTAGACATGGAGATCACGTTCAGCCTGTCACTGGGTTTCTTCCTCTGGAGTATTCTGAGCTTGGTTGCTTGTGTGGTGGGGCTAAGGGTGGGGTTAGCTGGTCACTGACTCAAGAATCCTCCCATAGGCATGGGCTCCCAGTCCAGGCCTCAGGGCACCCTCCAGGGTTTTGGCTACAGCAAAGAGCAAGCCCAGGCAGGTAAGAGGGTGAGGCTCTGGGGCCCCTAGCATATTGGGGGAGCAGGGAATAGGAGGACAGTGGGAGCAGGCCCCTGGGCCTCCCCTGCTAACCCCAGCCCCACCTTTGTGGACCCTTTCCTGGCATGGTCCCCATTGGCATCTTTCTGCCCGGCCACGAGGAGAGCAGCAGGGCCGGGGCCACACTGGCTTTGTGGGCAGGGGAGAGAAGTCAGGCTGGGAGGGCAGGGTCTAGCCAGCAACAGCAGCAGGGGCTCAGTCCCCTGATGGGACTGAGGGCTGAGGCAGCGGCCAGCAAGGTGGAAACAGCTGTCCCCTGTGCGAGGGGTGCGGGGAGCAGTGTCTGCAGACGCCTGCGGGCCGGGATCTGTGAAGCCTGTGCTGCTGTCGGGCATCTCAGCTGGCCCCTGACGCTGGCATCTGCTGGGGTCCCGTAGTTTGGTGCTGGACTCTAACAGACCATCCTGGTTGCAGCTCTGGGGGTTCCTGCTGGTGCCTCATTTGGCTATGGCCTACACAGAGGCAGAGGAGAGGGTCTCCCTGCTGGCCCTGGGGACAGGGCGGGGCTGGCTGGAGCACCGAGCTGGGAGGAAAGGGCCTTGAAAGCCAGGTTCTGTGGGCTTTTCTGCTTTAGCCCAGGAAACAAAAGGGCAGCCCCTCCTGGCATCAGTCCTAGCACCCCTCAAGCAAAGGGCCCCAAACATTTTTGCTTCTTGGGACAAGCCCGTTGGATGCCCTTGCCCCAAGCTCCTGTAAGCTGAGGGTGTCCAGGACCATGGTCCTGGGAACTGCTGAAATGGAATATGCTGGAAGCTTCCAGGGAGCTGGGGTCCCACTAGGAACCTCTGCTCCTACCTGCAGCAGGTATCCTGTCTTCTTCAGCCCTGAGCAGGGAGCAGCCCTGGCCCCTCCGTGCTGGAGAATGTGGGGACCAGGGGGCAGACTGGGGCTCATATGGCTCCCTTCTGTGGGCCTAGGCTCTGCCAGCGAGGCCCTCTTCTCCACCATCCAGAAGGCTGCAGAGGTGGTGGCTAATGCCGTGCGCCCTGGAGCCCAGAAACCCCCACCCTGGGGAGACACCTACCAGCCTGCCGTGACCCCTGCAGTCAGCCATGGCCTGCCCACCCCTGGGAACCAGCTCCCTGGAGCCCTCCCAGGTGTCCGAGGTACTGAGGCAAGGACTCCTGCTCTCGGGTCAGGCTGCTCCTCCTGTGTGCTGGGGCCTGGGGCTTTGGGGGCGTGGAGGCAGGTGGCAGTGCTTCCTCACTTGGGGGAAGGGACAGATAGGAAGCAGAGCTGCCCCCCCACCACCTGGAACAAAGCCTCTGAGGGTCACAACTGCCATCTTTTCTTGCAGCCACCAGACACCAGCCTGGGCAGGCCGGAGGGGGCTGGGATGAGCTGGACAGCAGCCCCAGCTCCCAGAACTCCTCCCAGAACAGTGACCTGAGCA